GTATATACAAAGACAAGCATCCCGATTCCGGCGTTGGGCTAACGAAATTTTATTCGTTGCGCCCTAGATGGGTCCAATGTATTCCACACCAGGAAGTGTGCGTTTGTGTGCGCTGCGCCAATTATTATCTTTGTATTGCCGCTCTAGAGAACGTTACAGGCTCAACATTCAACACTGGTGAAATGAACTCGGCATTTCTGTGCGACCCAGCAACAGAACTGTGCCTTCAAGGAGACTGTGATCACTGCCCAAAAGGCCAGTTTCTTACACTCCAGGAACTTGATATCCCGGAGGATGAAGAGATTGTGCTTGCAACATGGGAGTCCGGCGACCTTGTGAAAAAAACTTTGGAACCTGAGACTTTCCTAAAAGTCATCCAAGTGACGGTTGGAAGTTGGGTACTTCACAACCATATCCGGCAAACGCAAGGTAAAGCGATCTACGATGAAAAACAGTGCATGCAACGCGGGAGCATTGTCTTTCATTTTGACTTTGCTGAAAACTGGACCATCGTGCTTCCTGACGAAGTGCAAGCATATCACTGGAAAAAAAAACAAGTTTCGATATTTACATGTGTAGTGACGACAAGAAAATCTACAAACAGCTTTGCCATCATCAGTGAGGACCTGTGTCACGACGCCGCTCACGCTTGCTTGGCTCTAGAAAAAGTGAAGGAGTGGGTTGAAGACAACGTTGCGGTATACTCGTACGTGACGTACGTAAGTGACGGCGCCGCCAGTCATTTCAAGAATCGCTACCAGCTTCACCAATTTGCAAAGGACGATTGCCCACAAGCCCAGTGGTTATTTTCTGCATCTGGACATGGGAAAAATGCATGTGACGGAGTTGGCGGACTCGTGAAGCACCAGGCCACGCTGAACAACCTGAGAGAACGTTCAGTAAGCGCAATTCAGACGGCCAGGACAATGGTGAGCGTTCTATCAAAGAAACTGAAAGGTGTGCATCTTGTATATCTGGACGAAAATGAGGTTGTTCGGTATCGTGAACAAAAAAAAGAAGAGTGGCTGACGGTGCGCGCCTTCCCTGGCATTCAGTCTTGGCACGCGTGGCAGCTCAGCAAGTCATCAACAGAAGGGACCTGTGACGTATATGTAGCACGGACAGTCCGATCTGCTTGGAAGCAACTTTATTAAATGGGTACAGCGAGGAAAACCTTAGCGTAAAGTGCCGAATTTGATTTCCCAAGGACTGCTCATTTTGAATGCAGGGACATCTTATTTATCACATTTTTCTTCACGGGGTATTTAACCTACTGTTTTTGTTGGTGGTTACTAATAATTTTTATCTGATCACTATAAAAAAAATCCCAAAATGTTATCCTCGAGCAGGATAAAATATATCGGCTTGCCACGATTCATGCATACACCGAGAGCATCGAAGCTGCTCCAGTTAGGCACTATGGCATCCGTCACCTGAAATTGTTTGTAATCGTAAATACACAGCCAACCTAAATATCTTACTATTATATCTTTGTTTTTGTGTGTGGAAATAAAGTTATTTATTTTACTGTAGATGTAAAATATACCGGAAGGTACAACTTCACACTGCATCATCTTTTCTCAAATCATTAGTCTCTAATACGATACCACTTTGTACGCTTATGTAAAATGCTGTATATAGTTTCTCCTCCATTTTACTGTGTGACCGATCGCTCTTTTTATCAATGACCTCATCTGAATAAATGTATATAAAAGATTTGTGCAAGTTTCATGAAACTGGAACTCAGAGTCACTTCTTGTATAGGACACTGCTAAGTGTAGGCTTTGAAAAAGGACCCTACTTTGGGGAGTTGTTTCTTCTTTCACAGTGCAATGATGCAACATGTTTTTAATAGAAATGAATGCCGAAATAGAGTATAACAGGGTACCCAAATTTGAAAAAAATCGAAGGTGGTGTTTTTTTTTTATTCGCATTGGAATTTTTCTTTGTTTGATTTTTTTCCCATGTTTGCCTAAATATATTGTAACTATTGTGTCACTCAGATACCTTATTTATTTTTTCTATAATAGCCATATATTAGTAAAATAATGTCTGCAAGTTATGTAATAATGATTAAATTATTTCATGAGATACAGATTTCCAAAGTTTGCCATTTGTCGTTCGAGCAGGCATGTTTGGCAATTTTTAGAAAACTAAATAAATTTTTAATAAATATTATTACTTTATATTACAAGCAAGTTGTACCCATAGTTTGTTTATAAAAAGTTTTAAAATTCTCCTAATTTTATTGTTTTAATTATTCACTTTCAAACTTGCCCCCTCCATCAGTGCGCGTTATTGCAACTGTCCACCTCTCCCTGCCTTACGATTTTTCTTGTCTCCAAATTTTTTTTCTGGTCAAAACTAAGTGTGGATTCGTTTATACCAGACACTAGACAATGTCATATAAAAACATCAGTTGATTTAAAAATGTCGACCAGCCACCCTTTGGTCGATCTTATCTGAAATCACCCGAAAACATTTTTTCTTTTTATGTGAGCACGGACACCGGCCGGATGGACGGACGGACGGACGGACAAGGCTAGACCCTAAAGAGCTTCGCCCCTAAAACAACCGTCACGGAACATACGCAGGGCATTATCTCGCTCTCAGGAAAGCAAGTTCCTTTTCAGATAGCTCTATCGAAGGCACAGCGACAAACGTATCGCCTAAGTAATCAATGCGTTCAGCTTCTACAATTCTACGTGTTATCGTAGTCTTGGTTTTTTGTTTTTAGCTTTAACGCATCTATCAAACAATGGGCCACAACCGCAAGCCCTATACAGTGTATGTCATGAAAGCCACCGTTGTGTTTTGGCACGTTGTTGCAGTGTTCGCGAAGCCGATTATTTAGGCAGCGCCCCGTTTGCCCGACGAACTGCCTGCCACAGAACAGCGGAATGCGATATACCACACAATCTGTGCAGTTGACAAATTTTGTCCGGTGCCTGTTTTCGCATCCGTGTTTGGCAAGCACGTCAGGCTTTGTTAGTTTGCACAGGTTCATGAGCTTATTGGGCGCGGACAACACTATCTTTACGCTTGACCGTAGGTGACGTATTTCCAACCAGGGGCGGATTTAGAGGGGGGGTCCCGATGTCCTGACCCCCCTCTTGATTTCTGCTTGTGTAAAATTTGGGGCGTAAAACGAAGGAGAGGGGGAGGGGTTCCTAAGCATATGGTACGCTGACCAACACCTGACCCCTCCCTCAGGATATTCCTGCATCCGCCCCTGTTTCCAACTAATGTTTACAGTTTGCACATCGATGTGATGTCGCTTCATGTTGTTTACCACCATTACAGCTCCGAACTGCTGCTGCTCTAGCGTCACAATCATTTCGCTGCTGTGGTCGGGCCAGGGCCGTAACCAGGGGGGGGGGTTAGGGGGTTCTGACCCCCCCCGAAATTTTTTTCTGGGTACGGCCCTGGTCGGTGCACTTGCAGCCAGCCGATTTTATTCTCCACCTCTGCGCACGCGCAGTGGCACCGGTCGGCTACCGGGTACCAAACCGGGACCGATTCTTCGGTTTGCTATAACTCTCCATTATATGCCACCGATGCACATGATTCATAGGCGAAAATAAGACAAAATGGCCGCCGTTGTCCCCGAAAACCCCCCCCGAAATTTTTTTCTGGGTACGGCCCTGGGTCGGGCGTAACGTGAACACGTTGGAGAATTGCGGTAAGTGGACTTAATCTGCCCAAAATGACAGCATCGATAACATTGAATTGGCTTTACCAGAAATAGCTCTACCTTGTGCCGTACCGGACCGAGGAGAACGTACTTAGGAAGTCTTGATGACGAGACAGTTATAGCTACTGCGATGGACGTATGTACCCATTCGACGAACAGATATGTAACGGATGCGTCGTTGTTGGCCTTTAGCTGTGCATGAATCTCGGCACTGTCGATGTTGGTGTCGACGACTCCATTTGCCTGGGCTTGGGAACGGGGCTCAAAGGATCTGACAGCGATACCAACAGAGATGTCACCTTTAGGAGAGATGACAGACCGTCATTATTTCCTATATCAACAGATATCAAGTTGAGCCTGTAGTTTGGTCTGATCTGAATTATGAAGCCGGGGCACGGTGCTTTCAACTCAAGCAGCTCTGACAGTCTTAGTTGATTTAATTTGGTGATCAGGTTTGTTTGGTTTGCTGGCATACAAATTACAGTAAGAGCCGATTTCCTAGAGTCTACAGTTATTAACCATGTTGAATTATCCTGAGACTGGGGATAGAGGAAACATCCTCACCCTTACCCTTATGATATTTTCTCTACAGTTATTATCGTACTGCTGCTCGAGGATATAGACTTGGCCTGATGACATTGTTTCTTTGCTTTCCTGTATTTCACAAGAGTGTAGCCTTCGTCATCTGTGGTGGGACCATTTTCTATGTCAGTAAAATTGGAATTGCTGTCCAGGGGTCAGGGAGTCGATACACATTTTAGTTTCAGACGTCAAAGATCCGTCCTCGTTTGTGTACTTGCCGTTCAGCAACGCAGGTGGCTGAGATAGAGCTTGGAGTGTCGCAGGTGAAATGTCCAAGCCGCTGACAGATGCCGTATGGTGATCGGGGGGCGGTTGGCCCCCGTGGCCATGCCGACGTTCAGGTCGATGGTGGGTGACTTCAGTACCGGTAAGTTCAATTTCAAAATAGTTATTTAACTAAATATCAGAAAGTGATGAAAATGTGCTTCAGCGTGGGAACACTTCGTCGTCCCCAGTGTTGATTGAAGTACATCTAAAAAGTACTTGAAGTACGAAGTAAATCAGAGGTTATGTACTTCAAGTATAGTAATAAGTACACCGGGTGCAATACACTCGTAGTAAACTAGTATAAATACAATGTACTTTCAAATTAAAGTACTTAGACAATATTTCTAATCTCCTTTTGTACGATTAGTTCTTTTTTTTTTTAATTACGGAAGGAGTATACTTTGCGGCTGAAGACTGCATTATGAGCGAAACTCAACGGAGGTTTGAACAGCCAGGTATGAAGCAGCTAGTAAAACTAGAGAGCACCTTGTTTAACGCCGCCGGGGGAAGACAGTTCACAACAGATGAGCTGAAAGAGGCCCTAGCAGTGCATGCATGTGCGCAGCTTTTACTTTCGCCGGATCTTTTATGCAACCTTGATTCCCTCACAATTGACGCCATATTCAGGACACTACAGGCAAAATCCGACGAAATTCGTGATCTATTGGACCAAGTCGTAAAATATACGAAACTTCTTTATTCTGTGCCTGCATCTGTCGCTTCGGAAGAGCGCTCGCTTAGTGCCTTATGCCGAATTAAAACGTATCTACGCAGCCGCATGAGTCAGGGGAGGCTAACACTCCTCCTTATTCTCCACATTCAAAAAGGAAGAACCGCCGAGCTTAACCTGGACGACATCATCAAGGAATTTGTCTCCAGGACTGCTGAGCGAATGGCGACCTTTGGCCTTCCTTGAGACGATCAACACACCCACTGAGCACAAGACGTCTCGTAGCCGGCTTGAAACGGCTCGACTAAGCTAGAGACGTCTAGAGCTTCGCAATACGTCTATAAGACATCTTTACAAGACGTCTCCAGATAACTTGACGTAGACGTCTAAAAAACATCTCAAAGAGAAGACTCACGTCTTGTAGCTGTCTCTAAAATGTCTAGGAGACGCCTTGCAAGACGTCTTGTAAACCAAAAAAGAGGGAGCGTCCTGAGGTCTACAGGGCGGCTACAAGATGACTCAAGACGTTTTAGGCTATCACGTCTTGCCAAGGCATATACAAGACCTCTTGCTCGTCTTGCCAAGACGTCTTTAGACGTCTAACAGACGACTTCGTGTTCAGTGGGACATATGCCCTTGGGGCCTATATATGGATCTGTTTCCTTCATCACGCTTTTGTGCACATTTTCTAAATATGTATTAAGATGTCATTGTATGTATGTAATTCTCTTGGCTTACTCGTTCATTTCATAGCGTGTCTTTTTGGATTAACATTTGAAGAATAATAAACGTGATTCTCCGCAAACTCGATTTTGTAATGCTGTGTATCCTTGTAGGGATTTTGAAATTGTCTGATGCACTATGCATAAGCGTTTTCGCGATATTAGAGAGTTTTAATGGATCGTACGTAAAAGCTTTGAGGGTCGGAAGGTGCATGCGCAAAACGCAATATTGCGTTCTACGTGTATACATTTCCGACCGAAAGCAGGAAGAAAAAGTGATTGCACATGCTAAGTAAGGAACTTCATGCAAATAATATTTTATTTTTTAATAAACAATAAGTAAAAATGAAACAACAGAAATTCGGCTCCAGCCCTTGTCTCCTAGAATAAAATATATAAAAACAAAATGCTTGACTTCAGCCCCCCCCCCCCCCCCCCCCCTCAAAATCTACTTCCGGAGTCCCTGCAGATAACACCGTCTCAGTGTCTTTCAGGCCTAGATATTTTCCATGATAGAGGCGCTTTGTCCACTAGAAGAAACCTGTAACGGCAAAAGGATGCAGCCTGCAAAGTAAAGCTTCGGGGCCTACTGGCTAGGCCTAAACTGCCCCAGTGAAAATGTACTCGCAATGTCTTCTTTTGTCCACAACCACAAGTCATTTTATAAACAAGACGAATGCTAGAGCCAGATCTCGTCTACGGGTTTCTACTTATTATCTTAAATGGTTCTGGCAACTACAAGAGGAAAAAAAATCGCCGAAAGGGTACAAATTGAAAGAAGCCTTAGGAAACTGAATAAGCCTTGACGCCCCCCCCCCCCCCCTCCCCCCCTTTTAAAAAAAAAAAATAATAACAACGCTGGTAAGCAAAACATTACCTATGTTCAACGCAAAGAATAAAGCAGCACGCTCACATTGACATCTTGTGTGACCTCGTTCTCGTTGTTTTTTAGGATTGCCTTCACGACTTTTCAAAATGTGGTCATATTTCCATCCAATGTTTGCAAGTCGATGAAGAGCAATAATTTTGTTTTCGATGAAATGTTGGTGTCCTACCTTAAGTTTTTCTGCCAGCACTGTGTAATGGCAGGTAACGTGAGGCAAGATAACGGCAGCAGGGAATGAGTGAGGTAGTACACATGGGCTTGCAGGGTTTCCCAACCAAGCAAATAGGATCATGAGTAGAAGTGCTTGCATTTTTGCTTCTCACACGGTCCCATTTGATACCATGTGTAAAATTAATCTTGGCCTCTGCTATCCCCTATCATTACCATAAGAGCAAAGCGTAAAACACGGCAAACTTTACCCATATAACGTCCAACATGCTCAACGGTTCGGCAGACTTTACTCGGAGGCTCAAGTGTAGCCCTAGAGGCAGCCAAACAGTTCAGAGTTAATTGATCTAGAATATTGCTCCTCTGTGATTGACGGGTGCATCGCCAGTAAGTTAATATCTCGCAAGTTTATACATTCAATCAAACAATGTGTGTATAAATAACAGCTATTTTGTTCATTAGTCTATACACAGTAGAGGGCTAATGATGAAGCATCGTACCTGGCAGAGGAAGCCGATTGTAGACATATATTTGAGACGAAAACACGAGTCTTCACAGACGCATGACATAGTCACTAACAGGATGAGATCGGAAGGAGTCCCGCCTCCAACGCGAGGCCTCCGATAACGCTTCGGCGTCGTGAGCCTCGACGTGCACGCGCAGACAAAGCACGGCAAGAGGTAACGAGCGCGTTGTCTCACGGCGGCGTACCGTTCTCATGCTGTCAGTCAACGTCAGAGCCAAAATCACACTCGTACAGCAAGCAGTCAAACACAAACAACTCGTTTGACCGATAGTTGGACTAGGGGCATGGAGAATGCGGCAGACAGAATTCCTACGCTGGCATGGGACAGTCATTCGTAGTTATCTTGGTTATCTTCTGGAAGCAACAAGTTTGGAAAAAGGGGGACCCCTCCAGGGGATTTAAGATAAACTTGGCGTTGTCGCTGCTCCATCTATCCAACCCTAATCAAACCAATCTCCCAAGCCACTCCCGCCTCCGAGTGTCAAGGGAGCCTAGACAAGCAGTGTAGCCCACCGCATAAGGCTCAAGCTAGGATGAATGCGGAGCACTTGCGACATTGCCCATTTCGCCAATTTCGCTACTGCGACCGGCACCGATCCCGCCCATTACCGAGCTAACCGACCCGCGCGGGCGGCGCGGCTTGACACACAGTGTGGCCCGACTGCCGACTGTGCCGCTGTGCCTCAGGCCGCCCTGGGCCTGGCTACGCAGCCCGGCCGCCCATCCCAGCCGCAACAGGAAACACGACGTCCACACCACGTGATACGTAAACAAAAACAAAATAAAGAGAGAGAGAGAGAGAGATAGAAAGAGAGAGAAACCGAGAAGCGAAGTGGAAAGGAGAATAGCGCATGCGTACTGGTGGAGGCTCGGCAGACGGCTGCTGCGTCGGCTGCATAACCTCAATCCCGCAGTTTGTTACCGCGCGACGGCGGGTTTTGTTTTGCTAGTAAAGTTAGAGCCAGTTTGACAATATTTGATTTCATGCAAATCCGACTTTGGAGTACAGCGACACGATCGGGAGGTGGAGACGGCTTCACGGAAGCGACTGTGCGTCTTTCACGTGAATGTGAGGTGAGGGTTTCTGGGATCTTGACCTGTAATGGCGTCCCATCTCGCAAGATGGAATTATGTTGAAAGTAAATCTATGCAACATGCATGCCCGCGGTGTTGCTGCGAGCGCCTAGGGAAAGAGAAACAATCGTACAATAATGTGCGTCATTTACTGCTTATTTGATCCCGCTGCGATCGTTTTAATCGTATCGGTCGGGTCCGTGGCTGCTGTGCTTTGAGGTTAACATGATCTGTTGCCTTGCTGCGTACTCGGGTTGGTGTGTGTTTTTGCCACATGGTCACACGCGCAGGGTGCGTTTGGAAGTGTATGCACGCTACACTGGTCGCTTGATCACAGCTAGCAATCGCGTACCCCCTACTTGCACTGTAGCCAGGGATCAACGCTGAAAGCTCGAATAATGTTCTCGGTTGTCACCCGCGGTTCATTCCTTTTCAATACCGTGCAAATGAGCCTTCCTTGAATGGTGTCTTGTTACAGAAAAATAATAGCTAATCCATGTTACCGGTCGAGGAACTGATCGGCTATGCAGTAAGCACCCGTAAAGAAAGAGAAGAAAAACAACAAAAGCGCATACCTTCCTCCCCTTTTTCTCTATGCATCCATTGATCGCTCTGATGTCGTCCATTGTTATCAGAGATCGACGAATGGGAGATAAAAGTGAAAGGAAAGAAGTGTATGATCACCCTTGAAAGGAAAGACGCTCGCGATCATCTGTAAGATGACCACGCTTCCGCCGAGCGAAAAAAAAAAAAAAAAAATAGTGGCCGGATTTGGTTCCGTCCTGTTCTACCGTTCTGGGTCCGATTGATGGCGTGTGCACGTTCAAATCCTTGCTGCGAATCGGAATGCCTTGCATTGGAACGCTATTAGGAAAACATTATTCCGACGGGGGCTTCGCTGAAGGGATATTAACGCTTTGTGTTGACTATTGAGGACAACCGAGCAGACGGCGCGCGCTGCACTCGACCACAACAACCGGTTATGGCGCAGCGCGCTCTGCCACAGCAACCGGTCGCAGTCAGATCATGGAGATAAAAAAAAAAATAAGAAAAAAAGCAAAAAAGGGGGAAACGACTGGAGCCAATATTCGGGGAGCCTGCGTTTATGATTATTTGTGTGTGTGAGAGGGAGTGCTCTCGATAACCAGCTTGTCTGTTGGCAAAAATGGGAAGCCATTCCGACCCCCCCTTTGCACTCGCGCTGTGCCGAAAATATGTGTAATTTTTTTTTTTTTTTATTATGAGAGTGTTTATGCTTTTGGTGTGACAGCATACAACACTGATTCTTTTATTTTTCTAAACTTTCGGGCCATAAATCTCGTGAAAACTTCTGGCGTCTACGAAAAAAGGACGTCATTTGCGGTCTTTGTGCCGCTGTTAAGAAAAAGGGAATTGTGTGCCAGGTTTACTATTATTGAAATTGTGATATATTTGAGCTTAATAAAAAGGTGCAAGCAAGCTGGACGAGAATGGAGATTTGTGTCTGCCCTTTGTCCCCCTTGTTCCCCTTCTCCAGGGATTATTATCGTGATATATTTATTGGCGATTATGGTCCCCTGCACTTTAATTAAACATTTTGTACACAGGAGCAGACGGAAAAAGAAAGAAAGACGGTTTGTAATCATTCTTGACTAATTAAAAGCAGGAGTGATGAGTGCTTCAGTTTGATGAGCACAAATCTTCCTTGCAGCATTGGTATTTCATATTGTTAATTATTTCCTGGTTAGCGCTGGTTTGCTCTGTTTACAGTTTTAGCTGCAAGATGCACATTCTGAGGAACATTAGTGTCCTAGTCAAAGCTGGGCCTCATGGCTGAACTTTGCTATGTTTATTTGGGCTCAACATTGTAATCTGTTGGGCCTCTGGGCTCCATCACATAGGAAGGAAGCAGCCCTTACTGATAGCCTGGCTATCTTTGGCATCATGTTTCTTTTATCATCCCTTCCAAACTGATTCTGTATTTGATGCTGGTGTTAGCTATAAGGAAGTTCTGACAAGCTTGCTAGGGGTGTGCACTATTGGGGCTGTGACATGTTGAACAGTGCTGTACAGCAGCATGTGTGATGGACTTTCAAAAATAACATTCGTTATGCTCAAGCAGCAAGTTTGTAGAACAGACAGTTTCAACACTGCTTAGGTCAACATTTAAAAATGTTGACATAAGCATGCAAAATTCAGTGTATGCTGGTGGTGTCAAGGATATGAAAAACTCTCATCTGCAATTGTATTTTTAGCACACGAAACAAATTTTAGTTTACTATAAAAGTAGTGTGATAGATACCAAAGGTTTATATGAGCAGTTTATAAAAAAAAATCTAAAGAAAAAGCATGCATAACACTCAATCGCCTAAAATCTTTAACCTGATGTTAGCACTGGCAAAACCATTTGCAGCTGGAAGTGAGAAAGTTTGTCGCACCCTTGTGCAATGCTTGTCTGAATTATCATTTTATTGCACCTCGGAATGGCAGCTGCTACTTTTGATAAGTTTTATTTATTTTTTTTTTTCTGAAGAGTTGTGGAATTAGTTACTCCTAACAGGCATCAGCTACTTTTGTTCTTTGTTTACAATTGAATAAATTATGGTGTGTCTTTAATTTGTGTGACCTGAGGACTGACATGTATGTTATGTTGGGCAACTGGTCCTTCAAAATCCTAATTGGTCTCACTCGTGTCACCAGGCAAATCACTGGGAGCTTCATCTGGATTTTTTTTTTTTGTTTATCAAAAGTATTTTTTATGCAAGCATTGCTGGGGGGGGGGGGGGGGGGGGGGGGGGGCATTTTCATATTTGTGCTTTCTTCGCTTTGCTTTTTTACCACTTCGTGATAAGTATGTCCTCGAGGCTGCTTCTCCTCTGGGAGTTTCAGATGCTTGTTGACTTCTTTTCTTGTATATTTTTGTGTGCTAGGCCAAGTCAAAACAAGCTGTAATGAGTTCTCTAGTCATATCTGCACAGCATTTTGTGAAACACGATTTTCGCTGGTATGTACAGTTCATGAAAACTATGCCTGTTCTAGAAACGAAATTGAAAAACCATATAGAATAACTTTTTTTTTTGTTATTGTTATCATTGCATCTTCTACTAAAAGAAAAAGAAATTGAGGAAGAAATTCATGTGTCATGGCATATGGGGTTTGTGCAGATTAAAGATGCCAGTGAACATTTTATCAAAGTGAACTTGGCAAAACAATAATACCAAACTATTTCATAGATAAACAAGCATGTTAGGCATGTTAGATGTAAAAAAACATGCATCATTTTTGTGGAATGCCATCCTTTGTCTGCTGCTCACACCCCTCAAGAAGGGGATGTGAATCTGTGTTGCCAAATTGTTGGAAATTTCCTATAAGCATAGCTCCAAGGCACAAAAGAAACTTAATGTGAAGGCATGTAAAATAAAACAAATATATATATAAAATATATATATATATATTTTTCATATTTTAATGCAATCAAAGTTAAGCTTTTTTTCGTCCCTTGGAGTAACCGTAAGAAACCGAGCACCCCCCATCCTACAATAAGCATCCACCCACCAGTTTTGTAACATTCGAAAAATACACAAAGGACATATATTTACATATTACGCTGGGCGATGGGCATATAAGAAATGCCCATCCTCCAGTTTTACTTGATTATCTCAAATTTTTGAGTGGGCATTTGCTCGGGATTTTACGGTAAGTTTTCCCTGCAATTTACCTGCATGTCCCATGATTTGACTCGCAATAAAGACAGCTTTGTTGTGCTTTGTGCAAGACATTCTGTACTGTTAGTGTGCGTGTTTGCTTTCCACTTTAAAAGAGTGCAACTTTACTTTATAGACAATGCTCTGGGTTTGCCATCTCTGATGTCTAACTGCTTTTGTAATGCTCTTTGAGTGTTATATTAAAGAGTGGAATAGTTGACCAGGATAGCTAGGGTGAAGGGATGTTTTTCTGGTGTCAGTACCCTTTTGCTGCTTCTATGACACCTTGTGCAAAAACAGACATTGAAAGCAAGCAAGGATTGACAGTTGGCAGTGTCATCCGTTCTCTTACTAGTATTGAAGAAACTCTGCCCAAATGCATGTGCAGTATTTCTTTGTACTGTTATAAATAAATCGGAAAAAATCATGGATAAATTGTGCCCTAAAAACTACTTGATTTCTTGTAAGCTTTTATGCTTTGTTTAAAACAGTGGTGACATCTAGCGCACAGAAAAATGTCACTAGGGCTGAAATGGACAAGTTTTTTGACCAGAGACATGGATGGACCATGACATAGGTAATGTGACATGTAATGGTGGGGAAGTGTATTGTTCCCTGCAGGACATCCAGAAGCTTGCTACAGGAGATTGACATTCTCACTGATTAGAAGGAACAAAGATCTAATCTTGCCCTTCTTCCGCATGAAAAAAATTAACTTGGAAACACTAAACGCTTAAAAAAATACTTTTAAAGAGGCTAAACAAACCGAGCACCGAGAAAAGAGAGAAAGAGTGCCTGCTTCCTTGTGGAGAGAGCGTCTTCCCCCCTAATCAATGGAGGCAGAGTGCACTGCGCACGCACGGCAACAGTGGTCTGGGAGTCCACTCACCTCAAGGCGTATTTACTAGCTGGTCCTTATCTGCTTACGCTGGGGTCAAACACAAACAAAGCCATCACCAAAAGGACTGTGCCGTGACAATGAACTCTGGCAACACTGAAGCCCGCTGCCTGCCTGTCTGGAGATTCACACAGACTTTGATCTGTAAAGCTTGGCAGAGCAAAGAGTAGCCTGCTCCAAGATAGCCTTAGAGTAGAACGGTATCTTGGTGCCAGACCAGTAGAGAAAAGCAAGCAGTGTGCCACTACTGGGGACATAGAGAGCAGCCTAAGCCTAAGCTTTCAGACTTGCTGGGTCGTGCAGCAGCTAAATAGAGAGAGGGTAGCAGCTGCAGCATTATGGTGCTTGGGAGTTGTGTGTAGAATTTATGCATTCGTTGTGCAATTCTTTGTTGTTTTTTTTTAGAGTAAATGCGAATGGCTTTGTTGAGGGGAGGGGCATTTGTTAGGTTTTTTTTTTTTTAATATTGGTCCGGTTTGAGAAGGTAATCTGTATTGTAATACACTTACCCTGAAGGCAGTCTTCAAGCTATCCGTGAGACTGACAGTTTGACTTCTGGTAACCTTCGAAGTTTCTCTACTGCATCCAACATCTTTGTTCAATGAACCAGAGGCAAAGAAAAAAAAAATATTCAGAATTTTTTTTAAAAGCTAACACTGAGTCCTGTTTCCAATTTCTAAGAATAGGAAGCCCCCACCCCTGATTTTTCTGGTGTGTGGGATTGTGGCAACTGCTGAACCTCCCACACCATCACAGTGCTAGAAGATACCTCTGTATCTTTCTATCACTCTATGAAATATGTGACATACATTAAAGTCTGAAGCCATCATAGAATGTTTCAAATAGCCTTACAGTTCTACATTTGTTTTTAAAGTTCTAAATATGTTCTAAATTTTAGTATTACCGAGTGCAGTCTGCAAAGTGACTAATGTCTGATTACTTATAAATACTACTTAAACTTATATACACAGTTATACTTGTTTTCTTCTGATGGACTACCAGGCTTTTGCTAGACTAAAATCGTGCGCTAGTCACTCTTATTAGTGCTGGAGTGCTCGAGTGCACTTAAATATTTTATAGTTGTGTCTGTGCAGTTGTTGGCAAAAAGAGCTAGTGGCTGATTTACCAGATAGCAACATGTTAACAAAAGAAGTCTTAACAAGGGAAGTTTAAGGAACACTGAGCTGTTGCAACACATTTAAGGGCCACATCTTCTGCTCAATGTAAAGATACGGCATTGCACAAGCTTTGCAGTGCCATGCTGCCCCCATTGCTTGAGCGTGCTCTCCTTTGTCTATGGGAGCTTCTTTCTCCTCATTGTTCTGCTTCCTGTTGAGCACAGTGTGCTAGGGCCTAATGCCAAGCTTTGTTACTGTTGTTTGTTGCAGGCGAGCACATCACCAATGTTGACATGGGCAAAATCACCAATCGTCCCCAGGCCGACACGCAGAGTCTCTCCTCAGCCTATTTCACAAAAGGCAAGTTCTTCAAATAGACTTCTCTGTGCTTGCCTGCCTAGCCTCCACTGCCTTTGGAGTGCCGCCTTTGACTAGCGTCCATTCCGTAGGACATGCAGGGGGCCTGCTTCCAGTAGGTGTGGTGTCCTCGGCACCCAAAGCAGAGCAGCATGCGTCGCTTCCCGGGCCGCCTGTGAACCTGGAGCGAGTTCCCTTATACCAGGAGCAGCTGGAGTTGTCCTACCCTGAGCTGAACAGCCTGAGTAGCGCCCTGGCCGATCGCTACCACAGGATGGAGTCCAACATGAGCACCCTTGACTGCACCTCAGACACGACCAACCTCCACGAGGACTCGGTCTCCTCGACTGTTCGAGAGACCAACCAGGTGCGTTATGTGAAGACTGAGCCTGATTAGACATGGGCAGGTTGTGAAAAGCGACATATTTGTGCATTTGCATCATTGTGCCTTATTTGCCTTCTTATACTGCCCGTAGCGGAGTCTTCCGGCGAAGTGGAACATTGGAAAGTTGACCAGGCAGGGGTGCTTTACTTATAGCAGCTAGGTTCTTGCATTCTTTGCCCTGGAGCTAAGAATGAATGGCAGAAACAGCGCTCCCAATCTGCGGCCATCACTTCGGCCCGTGCCTAAAGGAGGTGGCCACAATCATCTTCGAGTCTTCCCCTGGGAGGTTATTTGTAGGAGGACTGTGCAGTTTAGTCGATGTAACTCCAAGGTTGTCCAAGGTCTTCGACACTCTTACCCTTCCCCATCCCAATTTCTAGGGACGCTATATTGATGACATCCTCGGATTCGGCCCACCGAATGCGGTCGATTCTTTTTTTTGACTACTAGAAAGTGCACACCCTTCTCTGAAATTCACCTCCTCAGTTTCTACCTCTGCTGTCTTTCTTGACCTCACCATCTCTGTCAATAACAAATGCTTCCAAACGTCTGTTCGTTACAAGCCTACCAACTCGCACAGCTATCTTCTCTACGCTTTTTGCCACCCCACACATCAGATCGACTGCTCCCGTTTTCACAATTTCTCCGCATCCAACGCCTTTGCAGTGATGATAACGATTTCTATAATCACGCCCTCTCTATGTCCACATTTGTTTTCTGAACTGGGGATACCCTTGCCCTATCTTGACAAGGCATTAGACTGCGTTTCCCACATCTCCCATTCCGACGCCCTTTTCTCTCTGTTATGTAGTGACAAGTTTCTCTGTTTTCGCTGTGCTTAGCACACTTCATATTTTCAGTTGTCAGCCCTGTTATACAGATGTTATTGAAAAAGCAAAGTAAAACCTACCAGTCGTGACCATGACAGCGATGTGTCCGGCTCATGTCGTTACACTCTCCACCCAAACCCCAAAAAACCCATAACCCTCTTGTCCTGACATATTGCACTTATCTCCCTAAACTCACCCATCAGCTTGTCTGTGCCACTGGCCACTTTCACCCTTCCAAGCACGTTTCTGAAGCCCCAACTGTCGCCTACCGCCTCCCCCCAGACCCCCAATCTCTCATGGCGAAAAGCCGTATTCCGTCCGCCGCCCCTAAATCCCCCACACAACAATCGCCTGGTACCACACCATACAACACTCCTAGATGCCTTACCTGCAAGCATGTCGCTCCTTCTCCCCCTAATTTCAAGCACAAAATTCCTGACAGCCATACCTGCAAATTGGTAACATTGCTTACGTAATTTTCTGCACCGCATGCCTCGACACTTTTTATATTGGCAAAACCGATCGAAACCGAACACCGCCGCCCCGTAACCCTGGAACTCGCTAATAAACTAGATCCTAATCTCTGCACGCACGTTTCCGACCACTTTTCCGAAAATGGACATGGTGAATTCAATATGCGTGCCTGCATCATCAAATCTGGCTTCATTTGCTCCCACTCTCACAAAAAAGAAGAAAACTGCTTGATCTTTAATCTCCGCTCTGAATTCCCTAATGGCTTAAACAATACTTGTCTTCGGTACTAACACTTCCACTCTAAAGTCTAAAGTGGGAAAGGGAGTCTTCTAAAGTCGACTCCCTTTCCCACTTTCATTCATTCTCCCGTTCTTCCCCGTTCATAACAGTTTGACTCGCTTCCCGAGCTTCGTCTGGTTGTCGTTTGCTGCTGCGTCTTTTTTTTTTCTTTTTGTTTTTTTTTAATTTTCTGGCGTTGTGCTGCAACAGCCCTTGCGCTCTTCTTGGCTTTCCTTGGTTTTCCCATAGTCTGACCATGGCCTCCGAGATCCCAAAGCATGCGCGCGAAGGCTTCTCCAGCCGTCGCATTCGAGCCGCTCCCCGGCAGAAAAGTGTAATTGCGCTAACTCCGTCGCTCGCTGCGAGGCGGCGTTGTCTGCCCAGTCATAACAGAGGGGCAAGCCATCAGCATCGCAAGTAGAGATCTGCACTGATACGGGCTAGACCGCGGGCCACGGGCCGGGCTCGGGCTTCACGGCTACATTCACGAAGGGCCCGGGCCAGGTACGGGCCTTGCATTCAAGTCTACAAGCGGGGGCCAAAGCGGGCCAAACCGGTCATTACTGTTTTTCTTTTTTTCTTTAGCGGCATATTCTTCGGAAGCGTGTTCGGGGGTTGGGAGAGGAACCACAGTGGGGGGATAAACAGACGCTGAAGCATGTGTGTGTGGGTGTATGTTTTTGTATAGTTTGGTGTGTGCAGCAAATGCTCTTTCAGATGACTAGCGGCGCGGCGTTTCTTTTCGTCCCCGGCGGCGCCGCCTTCATACAATCGTTTCTCACCACAAACACGCACCTCGCCAGCATAAACCATCTGTACGCATGAATGCTTGTATCCCCAATAGGGGTAAAGAGGTTCCCCTGAGGGGTACTTTTCCTGAACGGTTGCTCGCAGACCACCGCAAAAAACGACAACATTGCTACTTTTTTTTTTTTTTTTTATGGTTGTACGCAGCGAGAATGGCTAATTTAGAACTTTGCCCGTCTTTTGTCCATACCTGCCACAGTGTTTCCCTTCCTTTCCAACTGTAACAAGTGGTTTTGTTTACTTTTGCTTGTCATTTTTGTTTTTCCGTCCTTTCCGCGCGTGTTTGGTCGCAGAAAAAGAAGATCGGGTGATTTTTCTTAACAAGCTGCCTAGGCCTGCAGATTGGTGCAACTAATAATAGCAGCAAAAAAAATGCTTACAGTATTTACTTCTGAATATCGTAATCAACTTGTGTGTAGCAGTTGCAAGCGAGCTGCCATGCCGCACAATCTGTGGGCTATTCATACTGGGCTAAAATAAAGCGCAGCTGGTCCGTGAAAATGAAAACATGTCCAGATGAATATCTCAAATTAAATAATTAAATAAGCATCACAAATTGTCTGTCTACGTCTCCAGAGCAGCTGTTCACCGTTCTACCACAATACACAAAAATTTATAAGTATAAGTTGCAGTAACTCAACGTAACAAGACTTTTTCTTGAACTCTCCTGCCTCGTGCCATGCTGTGGATGACTTGGTTAAAGAGCACCTCCCCATGGATAGATGCCGGCTCTTTCTCTTTTTCCGATTACGCCCTCTCCGCGCAAATGGGAAGGCCGGAGAAGCGTTCGCGCGCTTCGGGATCTCAGAGGCCATGGTCTGACGAAGGGCGTGCGCCCGAAACGTTGCTTATTTGCTTTCTCCTTCTTTTTGCATATCTTATCTCTCACGCTTTTAGTTTTGTTCAAAGTTTCTAGTCACTGAGAGGATGCAAATGGCGAGAAGGAGCTTCTATAGGCCCCTCAATCGATAATTGGCTCACAGCGTTTTCATTACTCTGCACAGGTCACTATTGTTGGGATAAATAGGTTCTAGGAAATTAGCTCAACATGAAGCTGACCAATGCCATAAAGGTGAAATGATTAAATATGTGAGATCCCTTTATTCACGTGGTTGTCGAATACAGTCGCTGTACCACGCGCTCATTGTAAATGCAACATTATGGTAGTGTTGAATAAATGTAAACAGACCATCATTGTTTTCCACTAGTAAGGTATGTAAAGAGAGAACATGGGGCGAAACACGTTTCTGTAATTTTCGTTGTTGATATTTTATAAATACAAACGCAAATGCCATATTTTCTGGACTATATTCCGCGGACAATATGTGTTTAGAACTGATATTCTATGTTGTGTGGAGGATTTGTTTTTAAAATTGCTCATTATCAGTGCAACTTTTGCACAATGCGGGTAAGCAAATCGTATTGTTTCACACAGGGCATTAGTCAGCAAAAAAAACGAGACTGTCAGTGTGTTGCTTTTGACCTCAATGCCCATGCAGGTGACGTGCCAGGTTGCTGCGCCCAAGCTGACAATGTGGATCAAGCTTGATCTTGATAGCACAAACACCCACAGCTTGCGGTCATAAAATCATTGCGACTAGTAAATAAGTTACTTTGGGGTCCTTCAGGAACCACGGTTGCGATACCTCCGAAGTAAAAAAGCACCTTCACACTGATTTTTGTTTTTTTTAAAGCAACAATACAGACTATAGAAAGAAGAATTGACACTAATATTTCATTAGTCAGCATGGAGTACTATTCATTGGGGAACTAATGACTTACTGTTTTTATTGGGAGTAAGACATGAATGAACACCTAGTGCAGACTATGCACCAGGTGCGGACTACCTAAGGGAAAACACATTTTCAGCCAAAGCTTGTTCCTGCAAACTATATGCCAGGTGCGTACTATAGTACAGATAATATGCTATCTTTATATTTGTTAATCTGTGCTTCTTTCCTCGTTATTTAGTGGTTTAGAGAAAGTGGAGATCTGGTTTTGTTTTTGCAATGTTTTCTAGGAGACTATGCGCCTCTGTTGGTTGCAGAGTGAGGGAGTGTCTCGATGAACGGTGGAGGAAAACCCATTTGTGAAGAATGCTTTGTCCGATGTGGCAGACTGCTAGGCAGGGCATTGATCAACCTAGGCTCGAACCTAGTTTTCTATGCATTTCCTTTCTTTGCCCCAGTCACAGCTGTTGTTCTAGACAAGGGGTGGCCAGGCTGACCCGGCCTAAGAGCTGCGAACAAAACCACGAAACTTCCAAGAGCCGTGGGGGTGGGGGGCAAACGTTTGTCCAGAGCAATAAACGAAACTCGAATTACTTTCAATCTATCCGAGTCAAAAGCAGTCCAACTGTACGTAAGGTAACAGTAGCACAAGACTACCTGTCTTTCGATTTAAAGCACATTCCATTTCTCTTTTTGGGGAAGTGCTCGTGTGACCAGGAGGGAGGCGGGGGAGGGGGGCGGAGGTAGGGGAGGGAGCCACCAGCCGCACTTTAACACGAGAGGAGCCGCAGCTTGGCCACCCCTGTTCTAGACTCTTAGCCTTTTTCAGCCTGCCTTGATCCCCTTGTCTGGCCACAGGACACAAGCAGCCTGCTGCAAGAGCCCAACTCGATGCTGGTGCGCATGCTGCACATGACGGTGAAAGAGGACCACTCCTGGCTTGGGGCGCTGAGTGCGGGCAACCCTGCGTCTAGCGTGAGCAGCCCGTCTTCGAGCCGGGCCAGCCTGAGCCCGCCACCGCACTCTCCGCGGCGCGGTGGCACCCTCGGTGGCGCCTCCCCGCTCGCCGTCTCAGAGGAGGCCACGCTGGGAGACACGCTGGCATGTGCCGAGCCTCCAGACGCGCCCTCCACCTCGAGGGCTGCGGCACCAGACTTCCACAACCTGCAGACGGCTCTGCGTGCTCTCATCAAGTGAGTCGGCCGAGTTCTCGGCCAGCATCTTCCACCCTTTGGGAGAGAAACGGGGCCTTTTGAAAACGGGCCACAGCTTTTACTGGAGTGCCTGGTTTCCCATTCTGCACCCTGTTAAGAAAATTGCTTCTCTTGAGGGACAACCCCACCTCATATTTCTTAGCGAGACAGCAATCGAGTTATCCTCAGTATCATATAGGAAGACTAAACTGCATGAAAAATCCACTAAGGTGGATTTTGAAATCTAATTTTTGTGGTGAAGACTCAATCTACGCACCCTAAGCATCCTATAAAACCCAATATTACAATCACGTGTGGCCTTTTTGCCATGCCCCTTTTTCTTAGGCACCTCAGAAAAAGAGCAAGGTTGTAATTTTCAGTGTTCTATTATACTTAATGGAGATAAATTTAGTTGCACCATACAAAGAGGATCTTAAAATCCACTTCAGTGACTTTTTAACCTTTTGGGCTCATGGGAGTTTACCACTTGTAGGCTCTTCTAGTCGGAATTAATTTAAGCAAGAAAAGATCACATCAATGAGCGACTTCAAATTCAACTCTTAAATATACTATGATCAGTATGTTCAGTTTGAAACAACTCTGCATTGTCCTGAATGTTTTCGTTTGAATTATTGAACTCTACTAGCGGTATTTGCGCAGCGTATGATACTTTTCAAAGCAAATGCCGGCGTGCAAGCCAGGGTGTCAAGTGAAAATTTTATAGTAGAAAACATTTTTTTGTCTTTGCCTTTTGTCCTTCCTGTCACCGCAGACTGCACAGTCCGTAAGACGTGGACAGAGTAAAGGCTGCCATCTTGGAACACCTAAAAGCGTGCGCAAAATGCCTGTTCACGCATCTAGCAAAAATAAAATGTGTCGCACCTCTTACGGCACCTGTTGGAGGGACAAGAAACTAAGTACACATAGTTTACATACCCGACAAGAGATGGCGCAAGTTCAAATTGTCGGTAGGCACCCGACGCTTGACTGCGAAGGAGAAATGGACCTGTCGGGGCAGTCCTGACACTTGTCCAGAACGGGAATATTTATTTGTCGGGAGTTACCCAACAGGATCACCCCAGAGGGTTAAGAAATCAAATTAATTCTTAAATGTTTTGATTCTGTTTTGTCCTTGGATTTTTGTACAAAAATCCAAGGATAAAAATCTAAGTACAAAAATTGAAACATAATTTTATTAGAAAGAAAACGTGTCCGACTATACTCCTTCTCACAAAAACTTAGTGAACTGTGGAGGCTACGGCCCCCGTGACCCAATAAAAACATTGGAGCGGGACGCGTGACACCATGTCATGGGGGAGTTTAGGTCACTGCACAAAATGCAAGGCCCGGAGGAACCGGCTGTCGTCTGCTGGCCAAGACCAGCAGACGAGAACCGATTCCAAACCAACTAACTTTGGATGAACGTCCACCGCGGCAACATTGCCATCTGCTGAAGTAGCGAGCTCTTCGGGAACAGTTCATGAGACAAACCACATGCTTAATTTACCTGCAAATCTATGGCAAGTGCCCTAATGACAGGGCAACGTTTTGAGCGGAAGCGGTCAATTAGAGGGCTGCGATTGTTCAAACATCGTTCAAAAGCCACATTGTTAAGATATCGTTGAGAAGTCGCATGTCTTCGTCTTTCCTTCGTGTCATATAGCATAGGATGCAATCGCGGGAGTTCAATTGCTGTTAAAAGAAAAAGAAGCTTAGAACTACTTTTTGTCGCGGACGGCACCTTTGCTGTGGCGGTAATGAGGCCTCCTTGTCCTCGACCGTGGAGCGTCGTCACGTGCCTTGATTAGATGCCCTTATTGGGTTGCGGGGGCCGCAGCCTCCACAGTTCACCGAGTTATCGTGAAACGGAGTATAAGTTGCGGTGGCTCAAAACATTGCGAGTTCGCACGAATATCTGCCATCTTTGAGTGAAATGTCAAGAATGTGTAATTTCAAAAGAAAATTGTTTCGTGTCTTGCACGATTTAAGTCATAAATAATTGTATGCAACAAAAATCTAAAATTAAAATATGCCTAAAAAAAAATTCATCACGGCGCAACAATTTATATACCAAATTAAACTAACGTAAAATCGCGAGCAAGCGTCCTCTCTACATTTGGAGATAATCACGTAAAACATGGGCAATCCTTAGGTCAACACTATGTAAAGATATGTCCCTTGTGTATTTTCCAAATGTTACAAAATTGAGGGGTGGGTGCTGAGTGTGCAATGGGTGGATGCTCGGTATTTTACATTAAGTCTAAGTCATAATTTATATTGTCTTGATTTTTTGTTTCCACCCCGATGGCATCAGACTCAATCGTGCTCTGCCTTCGGGTAAAACACTGAAGGAATAGAAGGGACATTAAAAGCCTAACCCGCTCTGCAAATTCCCTTTTGTTTTTGTTTTAGCTATTAAATCCTGTGGTCTTGAATCTATGTACCCCTGCAGACAATACCAGCTGAAACACCAGATCTGACCTTCTTCTGCGTCTGCAGTCCCTACACATTCTCTTGTCTCTCAATTTGTGAAATAGTATAAAGTACGACACCTCAACTTCACATTCCATCCTAGTTCAAATCACAGCTCTCTGGCCCTGCAAGGGCCCTGCAATTACTTTTTTACTCATTTTTAATTTGCACCGAACCTGAGCGCACTGAACATAGTAACTTAATAAAACTTTTCTTTTCTCGAATTTCGCTTTATTTTAAAAGTTATAGGCAAATTAAAATTACAAAAACAAGCAAAAAATAACCTCCTTCATGACGTCCTTGGTTGCTTGAGTTGCCATGAATTAGAGGGGCGAGCGCTCACGGGTTGCCGCACTCCGTGTCGACGGCGCGAGAGGGCGCCACTAAAGCATGTTCTGGACAGGCTCTATGCAGCAAGCAGCCAGAGCGGCTCCCATTGCATTGGCTGCGCGATTAAACACTAATTCGGCATGACATTTCATTGGCCACAAACGACGGCAAACACGGGGTAAAAATCAGGTCAGAATGGGAGCCGCTTCCCGCTGCCATACCGCGAAACAGCCTAACCGCCAGACGAAGCTGCTCGCCGAAGGCCTTCGGAACGCTCGAAGCCGGTCGGATCCTCCAGTCCCTATGACCGCAGCACCGCCGCATACATCCGGGACCTTTGTGTTGGCACCTGATCCAACTACTCCTTTCTAGTATGTGCCGCCTTTTCCGCTGCTTGGTAACGGGTATGTCGACGGGTCATTTCTTGTTTCCCTACTTTATAAACTGCATTTGTTTCTTTTCTGATCTAAAATACTGAACAAAAACTACTTTCATACATAATTGATACGGTTCGCTCCACTTATATTTTGTATTTTGACTAAAAAGAAGCTTTTAGTGGCTCTGACCAGTAATAAGCCCAAAACCAAAGACGTCTCATATCGCGCGCTTTCGGTACCGCGGGTCGCCCTCATCGGTGGAGGTTTCCGCGTCGTTGCATGCTTTAAACAAAAAAAAACGGAAAACAAAAAAAGCAGCGTCCAGCTACACTTTGTAGCACCTTATGACGGACCATGAGGATGCTACGAGCCATCCCAGTCAATCCAGCACTGTGCACGTTGTGACTATGTGCCCCTCTCGAAGGTTATGTGACGCTCACATAGCGTTGGTTTGACTTTGATGGCTCGTAGCATCCTTGCAGTCCATCACATGGAGAAATGGAGTGTAGCACCAAGCAATGAGTGTTTAGGCAGGCGCCTGGCATCTCTGTGACACGCCGCTCCTGGCTTGACATTGCAGCTCCATTCTTCTTTGCTCCGGTTCCTGCACTGGCCCTCTGGCACTGCAGAACAAACAGCCCCAAGCACCCCGTCAATTTTTTTTTTATTTTTGTGCTTATGTTTGTCTTCTCTTTCCTCATGGAGTATTGTTTAGCAGTAACAAAACAAACACACAAAAACTAACTGCTTCTTGGTGTACTCCTCCGACACGACCTGCCGACCCCACGTTGAGACGTGGGTAGACGCGAGATTCATTTATTTGTTTATTTATTTGTCACTTAAAGGGGAACTCCGACAACTTTTTGAGCAACCCCAACTAACTATATTTTTGAAATCGCCGTCCTTTACTCTTTCTAATATGTTATTTTGTATCGCAAAATTCAGAATAGTTATTGTGAAATCGGCAAATGAAAATGACGCCAAATTGAAGATTCGAATATACCCGCGCTTTTCATTGCCGTGAAGTCACGAATGTGCCGGCTTGCGGTTCGAGTGGGCAGTCTAAAAATGAACTATGCCGAGCATTTGTATCGTGCTGCTGCGCGGGAGCTGGAGCGACTTTCCAAAGCATTCATTTGACACCATAAAACTGCTTGTAATCAGTTGAAAACAAAGTCTACAGCCCAAAGAGTGAACCCCTGCACACTCATGAGGTCACTTTTTTCAATGTTGCCACTAGAGCTTTTCACTTTGGAAAACACGATGAGGACCAAAATTGTAAATTCTGTAACTTCGCGAAAAAAAGTTATTTTGTCCAAATATTTTGGTTACTAGTTCAGCGATGTTTGTTGGTGTTTTTAGCAAGTTTTTAGGCAAATCGGGGACTATGAAGAAAATGGCGGAGTACCCCTTTAACTCCATATCGTTGCCATTTATTTAGGCAACACCGTGCCACTGAAGCCACCTGCGACCACGTGCAAAAACGTTTGCAGCTCAGATTTCATTACGCCTTACTGTTTTCCAGTGAACGGTAATCGCCACATGAGATTGTGGTTTCGTTCGGTGCGGATTCAATATGAAATGTTCCATTTCAGTCTCGGTTTTGTTCCGGTTCAATCAGGAATAACGGTTTCGATCCGGTTTTTTGGCTTGGGTTCGGGTTCAGTTTGACACCCTGAACTTATCGATAGTTTTGCATCACTAATGCACACGTTTGGTTTTGGGCCTACTCGGTGATTCCCCTGTCACAATCCGATGCACGCGTGTACCTGCACTAGTTATGCATTCTAACTGGTTTCTTTTCTCACAAGAATGGATGGAAGTAAAAGTGCAGCACCTGGCACTGGCGGCACGGTTCACCTGTTGCCACCGTTGTCTGTCTGGAGTGACTCTGTGTGTCGTTTACCAACAGGGAAGTGACCCAGGCGTCGCCCCAGGAGTCTCACTGCTCCCAGGGCAGCAGCATTTGCGGAGCGACCAGGAGCCTGCTCTCGGCAGATTCTACGACAGGTCGGCCCTCGGGGGGCGTCTTCGCCTCGCCAGTGTCCATGGTCGCCAAGGGCGGTATTGCCAGGAGAGTCAACCAGGTGCGTTGTCCCATCCTTGCGGAACGTCTTTCGCAGCGCCTAACGTAATTTTCTTGTGCCTCCTAAAATTAGGAAGGTTTATTTTTTGCTACTTTCGTATTGAGGCTATTTCTTTACCTGCTCGTAACTAGCCTTTCAAAGTGTTCTTTTTTTCTTTTTTTTTTAAAGCTTATTTGTGGTTAAATATGGGAGGAACTTTTTTCGAGTTTATTTTTATCACACTTTCAGCGTTTATTAGAGTTCACTAGTGTGAAGTGTTTGATTATCAGAAATTGGGCATTTTTTGTTGTTTAATTTTTTTATTGTGGTTATTTCAAGTTCCCCAAACTTACTAATAATAAGAAATAATATTTGCAGGCCAACAAATTAAAAGATGCAGAAGGCCATTCCAATTCTCTGCCTGATAGTAGTCTTTCCACTGTGATAGAAATGCCTCCTTCTCCTTCCAGTAGGAGGTCCAAATGAATAGTCTAAACTGGAAAGCGGAGCAGCACAATCACATAGTTAAATTGGCTTGTCACGACCCCGAAAGAAACAGTGACCCATTGTCCTGGACATTGTGGCCTCGTATATGGAGCTTTTTCGGATGAATCTGAATTTATTAAAAGTTTACAGGCTGGTGCTTTTTAAAATGTTTACAGCTCCATCTGAATACAAGAATAGATCTAGTAGTGTGCGCTGGCATCGTGCAAGTTCTGTGCAAATGCAGTTTTTGTTACTTCTGTCATCTATATCTCAGAGCAGCAGTATTACACCCAGCATGGTTCTTCAGTTCATTTGACCTCATAAGTGTTGAGGCATGTTTGCTGAGAAATGTCCGACATACCCATTGTTAATTGCATACCAACCAACCCATGCTATCAAACTCGTCAAGAGTTTTCAGTCCGAGTGGATACATAGCGTATGCTGTTGCGTCCACGCAGGTGGCCAAGCGCCCCACTCTCTACATGTCCTTCCCGAGCCGTAGCCGTCGTGGGGACGTGGAGCTCAAGATACTCTCTCAACCGGAAGAACAGCATCGTGCTCGCTACCTGACTGAGGGGAGCCGCGGGGCAGTCAAGGACCGCACGGGAATGGGCTTTCCCACCGTCAAGGTATGGACTTTGCAACTGGGCTCGGTTCTTGCCACAGACTCGTGCAGTGTTTGTGGCAGAAGGCCACTGCAATTGGTCCTCCTCAAAAGTCAGCTCCGTCGTGTGTGGGAGCCTACTAAGAAGTCTGTGAAAATGGTGGATGCCTGTTTATTTAATTATTCAAATAGCTACAGTGCCATGAGTAATTGTTGTGATGTTAGTGATTATCGTCCCGTATCCCTTTTAAATGCATTTGCAAAAGTGTTTGCGAAGGTGATGTACGGTATTTTAAAAGAAAGGTAGCCCCTGTGCAGCATGGTTTCCTCGCAGACAGATCTGCTGAGACAAATCTGTGCACATTTTTTTAATTGTTCTATGCCAATTGTTCGCAGTCGGGGTCAGGTAGATACAGTATATTTGGGTATGACCAAAAGCCTTTGACAGGGTCAATCATGAACTGTTATTGCTAAAACTTGAGAATTACGGTCTTAGCCCTGAGTACAGAGCCTGGTTTGTGAGTTATTTACGCAAAAGACAGAACGGTGCTGGAGTCTCTGGCTGCTTGTTACGCTCTTTTATGCCTTTGTCAAGAGTGCTTCAGGGCTCAGGCCTTTTCGCTTTGTTGTTTATTGTTTTGATAAACGACTTGATGTCATCTATGAAGCACTCGGGATGTAAAATCTATCACCTACTGCTCTTTGCTGCAGGACGAGGTTTGTACCGTTCAAGTATGATGCAGATCAAACAACCTTATTTTAAACTCCCGCAAAACCCAAGTTATATCTTTGCCAAGAAAACTTAGCGCTTTATCTTTTGCATGTACTGTAAAACCCTTAATGTTTGCGAGCCCTTAAGTTTCTTGAATTAAAAAATTTGCAAAATTTAAGGGCACGCGAAAATTTGTATCCTTAGGAGTTTCAATGCAGGCGTCTGGAATTCGCAAAATTTAGTGGCCGCGATTATGTCCTCTGTGAATGATTCGCGAAAAATAGGAGCCACGAAAATAAAGTGCCGTTCACACTCTTGCAACCGAGTAAGACCGAGAGAGACCAAACTGGTTTTTAAGCCTTCTGCGACTTCTTAGGACCGAATGCGCTACAGCGGAGCTGGTCCTAAGAGATCGCAAGAGGCTTAAAAACCGGTCTGGTCTTACTCGGTCGCAAGAGTGTGAACGGGCCTTAAAGGATTTTACAGTACTCTTGAAAATACTCCAGACGAGCACATTAGCACAAGATTTAGGGGTTTTTGTGGATGAGCACCTATTCTTTTGTTCTCATATGAACTCCATTGTTAAACAGTTCCTACATATGCTGGGAATAATTTCTCGCTTACCCAGATATCTTAGAATTCATAATTGTTTTTTTGACTACAATATGTTGCACTCATGTGTGCTCCAGACCTGAATTTGCATCTGTGGCGTGGAACTCCGTCTTTATTTTAGTGAGTGAAAATATTGAACAAATACAAAAATGATTTGTACGACTATCTTATGACAGATATTTTGGTTGAAAATGCTGTTATGAATATAATTTGATTTTAGAAAAATTAAATTTACTGTAAAGTTCCGAAAGAACGCCCGCCCCGGAGAGATCGCCCATCCCGTTTTTTGGCTAAATATCTGTAGCAGAAAAATTCTGAAACATCGCCCACCCGCCGATTCCCGTCGGTCGTCACGCGATGTCCGACAGAAATCGCATCAACCGCGCCCATGAACTTGCATCTGACAAGCGAGTTCATGGCGGGCTCCCGCGCTTTTGTCCGCAATGTGCGCGCGCGATATCGGCTCCCGTAACACGCGAGTTGTTCCCGTGTGTATGCTGCACCGTGAAATGCAAATCTGCTGCGTCCAGTCCGCAATCTGCGGCATCCCTTCCCGTGACATAAAGTTTGTAGCAGATTCCCGCGTTTTGTCCGTGATCTGCGTGCAACAATCTCAATTCCACACGAGTTGGTCCCGCGTGTATATTGCACCGTGAAATATGATTCAGCTGCGTTCGTGACTTGCGGTCTTTGCACCCGAAACATAGGAGTTTGTAGCGGATGCATGCTTTTTTATCCGCGATCTGCGCCGCGATATCGTGTGACAGGCACGTTTGTAGCAGGTCCCCCGCGTGTTTATTGCGTCATAAAACTTGCATCTGCTGTGTCCGTGATTTGCGGTATTCGTTCCCGTGAGACGCGAGTTCTCGGCGGGTTTGCGCAGGTTCTTCGCACCGTGAAATACGAATCTGCTGCGTCCGCAACCTGCGGTATCCTTTCCTGCGAATTCCCACGTGTTTATCGCATCGTTAAACGTGAATTTGCGGTGTCCGCGATCTGCGGTATCTGTTCCCACGTCGCGTGGTTTGTAGCCAGTGCCAGGGTGTTTATCATTAATTTTTGATAAGGTTTTGCTGTGGCGTCCCCAAAGATAGTCCACCCCCATGTTTTTCACCATTTATCTCTTCATTTTGGGTGGGCGTTCTCCATTACGGTAGGCAGTTTTTTTTAGAAGGTCTGTTCGAGATATTAAGTTTTTGCATAGGTTAATTCATGGTTCAATGGATAGCCCCACTCCTTTTGCTTCTTTAAACTTCTGCATTCCAATGTCCCCCCCCTCCCTCCATTCCTGGGGGAGGGGGAGGACGTTTGGGAGTGAAGTAGATAGTTATACAAGACCTACAATTATGACAACCGCAACACTATCAAGCATTTTTAATTACACAGCACTTATCATAACAATTGGCAGGTAGTTCTAACATGAAGTTACAAATGGACTAGGAACAATACGAGGTCAATGCGGAATCATTAGGTACAATGCTAACCTCTGATACTGGGTGTCTGTTCCAATCCTGCGTCGCTGTTAAAAACATCACTGTGCAGCTGAAGTTTTTTACCTTTATTGCAATAAGTAATGCGGTGGTTGAATGTTCAACAGTGAAATATGTTATTAATTGGGCTAGGTGTCCTTGAATAAGAAAAACCCAAGCTTTGCAGGAAGAAGATCTACAGTTTTGTTTTGACATAAAATACCGCTTCCAATGAACTGTCCGCGAGGCTGGTTCTTGCTCTGGAACCCCACATCCCGTTTCTTTTCCTCGTAGGTACGGGAATGTATTTCGATTATTCGGGTCACGCGAATGTTCCCTGGAGCTTGGGGGATCTCGTGATAAACACCCGTTTTTTCATCCACTACCAAAGGTTGTCACCGAAGAACGTTGAATCTGCGGGGAAAAGGCATGAAACCCTTCTTTAGACTTATGAGCTAGCCAGCACTAGAGTCACTGGGAACATTCAGTGTCTCTAGGCAGCATCAACCCGTGGAGACGCGCTCGAAGCAATGAAAGCTCTAGCTAGCTAAACAGCACTCTGGAGGCGACTCGTGAAAAAAATTGTTTTTTTATCAAGAGTTTTTTTCAAGAAAAAAGGGCATGGGTTTTTCTTACCTCCAAGGGAGCATGCTTGTGAATCCGGTAAGGATAAGAGAAGAGAATGAGTTTGAAGGAAAAAACAGCCTCGCGAACAGTTCAGTGTGGACCGTGTTCCCATTCAGAACAAAATGAAGCTGTAATGCAGGTTTTTTTTTCCCCGTGAATCTTGGGCTTTTTTTGTTCAGGGCTGCTCCAATAAGAGTTTTTTCAGTTATCCCCGATTCAGTAAATGCGGAACCCTACTCATATGCAACAGAAGCTCTGGGTCACCAGCGTCGAGTTCAATTAGACAACTACTGTCTCTTTCGGATCCTCATGAGAAATTTCAATTTTTGAAATTGCCAGGGGAAATTTGTGCGTGGGCTGTTATGCGATGAAATGTTGGCCTGAAAGCTCTACTCCAGAATGCGAGGCCTACAAAATAAGTTAGTATATTTCATAAAATTATGTTCTGGGCAAATTTTTAGCCTGACTCCCATGTTTTAACATACGAAAAAGCTTACCATTTTTGCTGCTGTATCCGATAAGGTCGAAACAGGCAAGCAAAACTTGGTCGCGCTGCCCATACAGAAAAAAAGCACTAATCACAAATCCCGGGCATCAAATTCATTGCTCGTTACCATTCAGTGTGGCCATACAATGTAGTCTTGACCACCTTCGTCTAAGCCAAACGTTTTTTCTATGTTACTACGCGGGGGATCTCGAGCACGGATGACAACAAAAAACGTTGAAATGGTTCACAATAACGCTAGTTCCTCCCTTTGTGCCTCTTTGAATGAATTCTTGGGAATGGCAACAAAGGGCTTCTGAAGTTGGTAATCCGTAGCCTTTCCCACTCAGAAGTCGTAATGGTAGCTCGAAGGCAGCTCGCCTGAACAGGGTGCTCGAAGGAAAGTAACCCCTAGAAACCAGACACCTTGACGCCCGCAGAAGGGCTTCATATTTCTGTCTTGCCTAACTCTGCTTATTTTCGACATTTTTTCTTCTGTTCGTTTAATTCCTTCTGGTCGACCAAAGCCCTTCGAGCACGACGGAGAAGGTTGCTACTCTAAAGGCCATTGTCAAATAAAATCAAGGGTGTGTGTTTTTTTTTTTTTTTTTTTTTTAACATTATTTTATCACGAGGACGCAGGTGGGCTTTGACGTTTGGGGCCCCTGCTTATCATCTTCACTGGCAAGTCACAGGAAATGACACCAATAAATGTTTGGACAAACATCTCAAGCGCTGTTCACACAATTGCAACCGACTGCGACCGATCACCGATCGCTTAACCGATCACTAAGCACTTGCTGCAGACTTATCAGTGGCATCCACTATGCCTACAACTACTGCAATTTGCATTACCCACTTTGCATCTCTGTCTTTATGACATGACGACACCATTTTGCCCGCATTGCGCAAACGTGCTAGAGCTTTTGCTTTTACTTTGCAGAATGTAGGCGAAAAAGCGTGCCTTTTTTTTTTTTTTGTCTTGGTTTACCCGGTTTCAAGTTCAACCGATTACCGTAAAATACCGGGGGAGTGCTTGCCCCACTTTCACTGAAAACTGGGTTAATCTAGGCATGGGCGCTTGTCTGGTCAAACTGGGCGGTTAATGTATACTAATTTGCAGAATTCTAAAGTTAAAAAAAGTGATTAAAGCATTAATTGATTAATTGGAAGGTTAATCGGCCAGTTGTCCAGCCTTAGTTATTACCATTATGTTAAAACACCTGAGACTGGGTGTGAAAAAAACCTTGAAACAACCAAAAGTAGAAGAGACAGGGAAACGAGTTAGCCAGACGGCATCTCAAACTCGACTAATAATAATAACTAGGACAGCTGTGTTGTCCTTGAATTGAAGGCAGGTTCTTCTAAAGCTCAACACCCCCCCCCCCCCCCCCCCCCCCCTAGGCTTTCTCTGGCTTTTGCCATTTTGAGTCACCTGTTATAATTCTTTAAGATAAAACGAGCAGCCCGACTTCGTACCTTTTCAAGCTTGATTGTCTGAACAACTGTGTCGAGGTCCCATGCATTGCAAGCTTATTCCAAAACTGAGTGGACCTGAGAAAATTGAAGCTTCTCTTTCAGATAAGGCACTACTGACAACATTGCGAAAGGAAGCCAAACATTCTCGAGACTTTAGAAACCTTATAAATGACATGTTTATTCTAAAGGCCCGTTCACACTCTTGCAACCGAGTACGACCGAGAGAGACCAGACCGGTTTTTGAGCCTCTTGCGATCTCTTAGGACCAGCTCCGCTGCCTCGCATCCGGTCCTAAGAAGTCGCTCTCAGTCGTACTCGGTCGCAAGAGTGTGAACGGGCCTTTAGTTAAAGGTTGAAGCTAGGAATGCAACCAGATATTTGTGCTCATGAATAATAATGGGCGGTTCTCCATTAATTAATTGTGTAAGCACTTTGGGATGGAACAAATCGTCTTGCAATTGGAATGTTCATGGCCATCTTTTTTTTAAGGTCAATATAATAATTTTCTACAGTTTGCACCAATCAGTAATGGCATTAATATCTGCCTGAAGAATGTGGACATCGTCATATCTTCATATTTTTGGTTAAACAATGTCTGCAAAGAGATGTACACATATGTCGGAACATTGACGGTATCATTCAAGTACAACAGAAACGACAGCGGCGCAAGGACAGATCCTTGCAGAACTACCGATGTTGTCAGACTGACAATGATTGAGCACAACATACTGTTGCCCACGGTTGAGCGATGAGCATTTGGGGGGAATCCTGCGTAGCAGTTTTGATGGAGCTGCCTTGTATGCCTTCTTTGCAGCTCGTGGGACTGCAGGAACAAGTTAAGCTCCAGGTGTTCATTGGCACCGACCAGGGCAAAGTGCAGCCGCACATGTTTTACCAGGCAAGCCGCGTATGTGGCAAAAATTCAACGCCATGTCAGGAGCGCCGCCTGGATGGAACCACTGTGCTCGAAGTGGACATGCTGCCTGCCAAGGACATGACTGTCAGGTGGGGATTCTTCGGTGCTCCCACAGATGTAATGTTTTCGGCTGATCATAGTCTTTTTGCTGCTCATGAGACTGTTTGTGTCAATAGTCTCAAGGAATTAATCTTGATTGGAGAAGAGGCAGGGCGACTAGTTTCTTTGCACTCTGGGTGATACTTGTTTTTCACATATCTAGAAAACAGGCGTCGACTGATTTTTTGTTTGCCAGAAGTTTGAACACCCTCGTTTAACATCGACTGTGTGTTTGGACACAGTACAACGTTTCGAACACTGTTGCATGGATGTTAAACACAATGTTTTGGACTTGGTTTGCATAGATGGCACCATTTGCACCCTCCCAACTGTCCATATGTACCGAGTTCCCAATAATAAAGCCCAGATTGCAAAAATTAATTCTTCCTGGCAGAACATTTCTTTCCTATCCTTTGTTTCCCCCTTCAATTTTCTTCTCGCTTCTTTACGTCCTTCTCACATGCTAAGCATTTAAGCGGCGCAGCTTATGACCCCTGAAACCTGAACAACGGGGATTAGTCACACTGGCAGGATATGAGCACCGAAGGAGGGGCTGTTGCTATCGTTTGTCTCGGGTGCGTGGAGCGCTCTTCAGGCTATTCTGTGGCGGGCTGATGGTTTTCTTTTCACACAGGGCCATACCCCTTTCACTCCTAAGCTGACAGTACGGTAAAAGCTGCGTGCTCGTCAAACCAGTCCTACGTATATCTTTATCCAGGTGATTACGCTTCCGTCCATACACATGCGCAGGGAGTGGGGTCAGGTAATGCAAGGGAGGTGGTTGAGTGGTCCGGCAAGCGCATAACTCCCACAGTGCTGTCAGCCTAAGGGTCAACGGAGATTTTTCTTACTTTTTATAGGGCCTGCGGCACATTGAGCTGCTAGGTGTATATTCTTTTTTTTTTTTTTAATTGTGCGCCAAGCTAAGTTTTGGCGGCACGGTGTATGTTTAAGAGCGCAGATATACCACCAACAAATGATGACGACTCAGATGTCATTGCAAGCTGTCTTTCCGCTTATTGAGGGCTGTTTGAGGATAGTGAGATGTCTCAGAGAGGCCTAGCGGAGCTTTCATGGCCATGGCACTCAGTGAATCATCTTCATTTTTAGCAATTTTAGCACAAACATTAAGAGATCTCAACGTTTGTGATACTGCAACTGACTTTATTTTTCTGGTCCCTTAATTTCGTGGATTTCGCTAAGTATGAATTTCGGGAATATTTAGTGGGCATGACATCTTACGATTTGAAGTGGTTCGCTATGTACTGGTTGTAGTATAGATGTTTTTGCGTGATAAGTTTTTCTCAAATTTAAATCGTTAAGTTTTTTTGAATTTAGTTATTTACAGAAAACTGTTTGTTTTTGTATGTGATGTAGTTGCTAAAACAGGAAAAAAACATATTTTGCTCTCTAATAAAAGAGGCTAACAAAAGAGAAAGAAAACTGCAACATATTTAGAATAGCAAACCATGGACAGAAAAAAAGTTATAGTTCAGAAAAAAAGTTGTTCATGTTCCCTTATTGGTAAAATGTTTTCTAGACAGTTGTTCAAATGAACAAACCACTGGAGGATTCAATGGGGCAAGTAGGTGCCGGCATGCGAGAAGAAGAGTGGTTTGACTTTCTTTAGTTTATACTCTGTTCAGCCCAAAGCTGGCAGTGCAGGGAGCTACGTGCTGGCCAGACCATTTAACCTCTTCCTTTCATCGCCTGACCCAGCTGTCTGTGCGGGGGTTTGCCACATGGGAAAGATAGGCGTATGACCTTGGTATGACTGGATCGACGAGCACGTAGCACCCACGGCACTGGCGGTATTTCAAGTCCGAGGGTCAAAGTGAAGGCTGGCTTCAAAAAGGGGGAAGTGGGGAAGACAGAAGGTGCGGCTTTTGCCTTGCCTTGTGTGATTACTAACTGGCCGCTAGACTAACCTTTTCTAATCCTAAACAGCAACGTAAAAAGGAGGGGTTCTTTCCTCTTGCGGGAAAAATGGGAAGGAGAAAGTCGAGCAGAGTGGAGAGTATGCTTCCTCCTTTCTGCTTGTTGGTTGGCCTTTAAAGGACACATGCAAGGGAAACTCTCTCTCCTGCTCTCGGAGAGAGAGATCACCTTTCTGGGGCCGGAGTTGGCGACCTTGACGGCCCGGACTGGCGGGCGTTGACTCGGAGAGTCTTCGGGACGAGATGCCTGTACACGCCAAGCGCCCCTCAACCTCTCTTACTTCCTTTCCCGCCCCCTTCGCTCTTTTTTTTGCTCTTCCCCCTTTCTTCTCTCCCCCCCCCTCTCTCTCGCTGGTCTAATCTTTCCCACTAACCCTTTCCCCAAATCTTCAGCAGCTCGTTGCTCGTCGGCCTGGCAATAAAGACCTCAATGTGTTGAAAGTCGAAAGATGTTTGCCCTGTCCATCCTCTTCGTCTGACTCTTTCGTATATTTTTGAATGGAAAAAGAATATTATAAAACAGATTTACAGCAAAGAAAAAAAAATGTAGAGCTATATTTATGGCGCAAAATGAATTTGTAGTTGGCGCCCATGGGAGCCGCCGCTGGTCATGTGGTAGGCTTGTGCACTGCTGCGCTGCGTCGCCGCCGCACGCTGAGCATTGTGTGACGCCGCTTCAACGCGTCGCCGTCGCTGTTGTCGCCGCTCCCACACAAGTTTGTCTGCTTCAAGGCGCCACCGCCATCATCTGACCGGCGCACAGGTTTATCACGTCTGCTTGCACTTTTTCAGGAGTTTCCTTTGGGCTCTAAAAGTTACTTATTAAAGGGACACTGACACCCCCCCAAAAATTTTTTTTTTCATTTTTTGCCACGGAATACTGCCCAATCAATATTTTGCTACAGAGTCACTTATTTTTTTTAATAAAGCCAAAAAAACGCTACTGCTCTAAACTGAAACCCCCAAACCGCACGGAGAAGTAGAGAGGAGAGAGTGAGTGGCGGAAGTCGTGTGGCTACACCCGACCGTGCGATTCTTTTTTTTCTTTCTTTCGCGTGTAGCGGATGAAATATGCTGCGGGATTTGTTCGCTGTGCGATTCCTTTGCAGTTATGTTTGTTCCACTCGCTGTTCTGTACTTCAAAATGAGTTGTTTTGTACATTTAAGTGTTGGCAATTAGTAGCGAGTGCCCGTGGTAAATTCCCGTGATCGGCTCCGAAAAGAATACTCCCAAGATGTTGCGTGTTTAGCTGCCTCACATGTCTTGCATCTGAAAGTGGCATCGTGCGGCAGAGTTGTCAAAAATGGAATCCCATACTATTTAGTTCAGCGACGTATCGTCCACAACAATTTTTTTTTTTTTGTGATAATTGTAAAAAAAGAAAAATAGCAAAATGTTTGGAAAAAAAAAAAAAGAAGAAAGGTATGTCCACATTAGGGATTGAACCCGTGTCTGCTGCGTGTCAAGCGGACGTCTTTCCACTGAGCTACTAAAGGAACTCTTTTGTTCGTAGTAATGCTGCCGGTAGACTGTATGTCGAAAAGTTTGCTACCGATTTCCCTCCAGTACATGCACTCCCGGTTTGGAGTCAGGCAGCACCACGCATTGCCCACATTCGCACCTATAGTCAGTTACAGGTTAAGAAGGTAGCGGCAAATGCCCCTCAAAGGGAATCAGATATCCCTCCGCCACCTCCGCATCCAATAGCGTCCCACCGTTTCCGTGACGTCGCGGCCAGCGCGCGAGGAGTGTCTTGCCTTTCGGTACATATTTGCTTTATCTTTCCACTTTGACTTAGCATTGTGGAAGCCACGAGAGGGAGGTTAGAGTTCTCCCCCACTTACGGAAACAAATACGACTTTCGGGGATTAGCTTCCCCCCCGATGGATACAAAGGCTGCTTTCAGGGGCTCGGTTCCCTCTCCGATGAATACAAAGGTCGCTTTCTTAAAAAGTGGGATCGGAGACAAGTGGGAATCCATTGAAGCGGAACAAGGAGCGTTTCCAGTGAACTCTTCTTTCGACTGCGGAGAGATTTGAAACGGGCGCATCACACTTGTGGGAGGAGCTTCTCCTACCTTCTTGACTTGTAACCGACTATAGTAAAGAACCTGTATGCGTCCGTATTCAGCTCGAAGTACGCACTTCGTGCTTGACGTGTGAGCGAGTGATGTCTTCAGCCACGAGAAGGGACAACGGCTCGGCGACGTCTTCGTGCAATCGGCTTGCTGGTCGGGCGTGTCGTATGGGATGAATATCAATTCTTTTGATTGGTCCAAAATTTTCTTTTTCGAAAGAAGACAGAATTCGCCGGTGCCGTGTGCGGAACGACGCCACGTTGAGAATTATGTGCAGTGAACGCACAGAATGCTTCCGGTTGCCTGTGCAACCTTTTTTTCAATCAACGTATTTGCAGCTTTTTTGAAGCCACAAAAAATGGGTTTCATATTTTGTTATATTTTTCGTATTTACTATGTGCCTTCAATGACCCACGACTTTGATTAAATTTGGTGGTCGCGTCTAAACCTTAGAAAACGGCCTGTGACCACGGAGAAGAGAGTGAGCGCGACTCGAACCAGCCAGTTCTCGATTGGCGGTTTTCGGGCAAAAAGAAACTGAATTTCGAGCCGCAAATTTTGTTCTGGGTAGTTGGGCTCTCATATGTCACGTACAACTAAAAACCTCGGCGAGCATAAATACCCTGTCAGTGTCCCTTTAATCTTAGAATTTTGTTATACTTCAAACAAAGATGAATAAGTTACTTTCAGAGGCCATAGGAAGCTTCCGAAAGAGCGCAAGTACCACGTGACAAATAGCGACCAGCCACATGACAAATACAGACCACTTTTCCGCGGCAGCCGCAGGCGCCAACTACAAAATTGTATCGCGCCATAAATATAGCTCTAAAAGTTTTTCTTTTTCGTTGTAAATTCGTTTTATGACTTGTCATGGTCTAAACAAGGCCATTTTCTGAATTTGTCTTTTAATGGACGAAACAGGTTGTGGTTTTTTAAAAGAGGACCACAGAGCATGCCATTTTTTGAACAATGACAAGCCGAAACTATATGTGACAACCCTCCAAGTTAAAGAAACTTTTTTTTATGGTCAGGACTCGAGCATCTTACTCGGCGATGGCAGAAGAAATGCAGATAATAATGGATGCTTTATTGGAAAGTGACTAAGTGTTTGTGAAGAATGTACCAGTAATGCATGTTAATGTCATTAATAAGTATGCTATACGCCATTTTAATAATCACCTTCTGCATGCTGCAATCTTTGTTTCCTGGACTGTGAGTAGCGTTGCAAGCATGCATACGTAGTAGTGACTTTTGTGAAATTCTGTATTGAATTGAGTTGACCAAGATCGTTTTGCTACTAGGCCAGTAGCAAAACGATCTTGGTCAACTAAACATTGTCTCGAAGTGTTCTTAAAAAGGGCACCACCTTTGCTGTATATGTATGTGTGTCAAGGTGTGCTTCAATAAAATGCAGAAAATATAACACGTTGACAATAGAGAAGGAAGCTGCAGTCACCAAACAAGTGGAAAGTGGTCGATAGCAAGCAGAAGTTGCACGGAAATTTAATATTTTTTGGACAGTGTAGTTTTTTTTGTTTTTTTTTTACAGCTCGATTATTAAACTTTTATGCTATCCTTGTCACATCTGAGAAATCAGTTGGAGGCTGCATAAAGGGAGATTTCCAACATGTGTCTCATTCTTAGCTTTCAGAATGTTTAGTTTGTTTTTCCTGGTTGTCACTGGTCTTTTGAATTTGTCTTGGTATCTTCACTTTAATGTAGGGCACGCTTCCAGTTTGTAATTATTTTCCTCTTTAGATGGGACTTTTTAATTTAGATTACAAATGTAGGAGATGTGAAAGCATGGGCATGACACAGCAAGGGAATATTGTATGCATTATCATACAGTGAATTTGGTAGTGTGGGAATGAACGCCGGAATGTTGTTGCATTCGTAGCTGTGACTGCGTGGGTATCCTGAAAGAGCGCAACGTGGATGTGGAAAAGCGGCTGGTACGATACGGCGGCACGCGGAACAAGAAGCGCAGCACTAAGTGTCGTCTCGTGTTCCGGGTGTGCCTACCTGCACAGCGAGCACGAGATAGTGGCGGCCTGCCCTCAGAGATTCTGCAGGTTGCTTCAGCGCCCATCCTCTGCAGTGAGTCCTTTTACCGTTCTTCGATATTTCAAAGAGCGGCATGACACTGTCGTGATGTCACGCAGATTTGCAGGATTGCAAAGCCTCCTTTATTCTGGAAAGTTCTCAAATCGTGAAAGAATGTGGCCGCCGTAAAGGGGAAAGTAGATCAAGACGCAGGCGGCCTGTCAGACAGTGCCAATGAAGGCCCCAGCAGTAAAATCTGGAAACACGGACACTCTCCTTTTTGTTTGGCTTCTTTTGGGAGAAAATTTTGCATCGATCTTCCGCTATTCCACCCCTCTCCCATTTTTCCGTGCGCCGGTAGCCTCCTTTGTCTTTCTCTCACCTCACCTGGGCATAGACTATGATCCCAGAGGTAATGCAAACATCCAAACGCAGATGTGTTTCGCTGAGAGGTCACAGGCCGCTGTTTGGCGCTGGCTCCCTGGTCATTCTAGAAGTGGCTCTGCACTACCATATCGGTAACCGTTCAGTGCTACTCCTCACCTTTGTCCGGCGGCTGGGCGCTCCATGACTCCGGGGAATTGACAGGCTTTTAAGAGTAAAGGAGGCTATGCGCAAAGTTCTGGTTGTGGCTGTGCCAACTGCTTCGCTTCCCCTTCTAGGACGAGAAACTTTAATTCCTTCTTAGCTACAAGGCGCTTGCGTGGAAATTCGAGAGTAGGTAGTTTCCAGTTGCTAATTTTTCTGCTTATTTATTTTAATTGCAGCTCAGCCTCCTGGAATTCCCGAGATATCCAAAAAGTCGCTTACAGAGTGCTCTGTCAAAGGAGACATGGAATTGTTCATCATTGGGAAAAACTTTCTCAAAGACACAAAGGTGGTCTTCAAGGAACCAGTCTCTGGTGAGTTGAACTAGGGACTCTTATAGAACTTGATTAGGCTACATTTATTGCATTTGATCTCTGTTTCTTATCCTTTGGTAGTGTGCACATCCATATCTAAAGTGGTTACATTGAATTCTTTTGTTTTCAGATAATTCGGGTGATTGTGAACCAAACTACATATGGGAAAAGTTTGTTGTTCCAGAGAAGGAATATTTGCAGCCCGTAAGTCTCCTTAAATAAATGGTACCATAGCATTTCCTACTTGGGTTACGATTATTGTTGTATGGTAATGGAAGCATGCTTTTATCTGAGTAAAATAGTCATTTGACCATTTATTTTTTATTACTTTAGCTTCATTGGGGTAAAAGGCTAGTTAAACGATTGGTGTGGTCACTGTTCCTTGACTAAAAATGGAGCATTGATTCCTACTCCTCATAAAACCGTGCATTATGTGGTTCCAGTGTTTAAAGTAGAGACATCCTAATTCAGTTGAAAAGGTAGAAAAAACATGTCCATACTGTATATGCGGCCTTACGCGGCCTTACACCGCCAAAACGACGATGAATGGCTACACAAAAATGAAGAAAACTATCGCCAACTTTACACCCACCCCTAGTTAAATGAGCACTGAGGGTCTGTCACATATTAGCTTCTGCACAGGGCACTGTTGGGTCAGATTGTGTGTGGATCATAGATTCACAGTGCTCGATTAACTGGGATGATCTATAGCCATCACAAAGAAACTCATGTTATAGTGGCATGGTTATCACCCTTATTAGATGCAGTGCGTTTTCTTACAACTGTCCTTGAGCGGTGAAATTCAAAATGGTGCCGATATTTCATTAAAATGTGCTTGACGAGATGCATGCCGCCCAGAGAGAAAAGACTGTGGCAATTCGTTGGGTTCGTGAGCTCTTGCAAACGCCCAGTAAGGGAGGAGAGTCAATAGACCGATCTCATCAGGAGTTGCGTGACGCCACCGCTGCCGCGGTGCATACTGGTACTTGTAGTTCTCCCCAGTTTTCCGGCCGCGTCAATGCGCATTGTTCGCCCGCCCGGCGTTTGGAAAATTTCGGGTTAGCACGAGACTTTTAGCCGGGTGTTTACTCATGGTTTTCAATGAGTGGCTTCGCATGTTGTATGCCATGGTGCTACAATAACAACTCCAGTCAAAAAGGCCTCGGATATTATGTCTTCCCGGAGGCAGCATGGCAAAGAAAGGTGATACAGAGCAGGACAGAGCGGTAGCGAAAAATAGTATTTTTCGATTTGTTTCGCGATTTCCTTCGTAATTTATATCCACCTATTGCACGTCACCTAAAAAGTATAGATTACAGGTCGCGAGACACGAGTGTCCCGAAATGTTGCATACGTTGGAATCTCTCTGAGGATTCACTCCGTAGCGGTCTATACGTTGGTCTTTCTCCACTGCTTTGCTGAGGCCGTTTTTAATACACTTTTTGCTCGATGTATTTTGGTGGTAATAACTGTTAATGCAACGACATGCTCAAGTACAACTGTGCTTCAAAAGATCAGGAAAATCACCAACAGCGATTCTCGATACACATCACTTGAAATAGAACAACTTTTTTCTGAAGCAGACTTCATAATTTTTTTTTTTCATACAAAATCCGAAAACATTACATAATGTAATTTAGAAGTGCAACACTTACCGCCAAAAATGTAACAAACGAACCTCACCTGTCTTGTGGTGGTCTTAGGCTGGTGTTAATGATCCATTCTGCATTAACACCAATCGAGACCGCTGAAAAAAAGCTTTCACCGTCGGGTGACTCCTAGCGATCGAATCTTGCGTAAACAAAATAAAAATTAATAGAAACTGTATACACGAAAAATCATCTTCACCCTACGTTATCAGGTATCTTGAATAGTTGCTTCTTTATGACAGATGACAATTGTTACGGCGCGTCAGGCATGGCCTTTCTGTAGATCATTTCTTCGGTGTGCAGGCTTCTCTCCGCAGTTCATCGGCACCCTGTCGCACAGGCTGTCAACCAAAATAAAACAACTTTTAGGAAACTATCGCTCACCGAGAAAGTCTATTCAGCTCCTCTACTTCATTCTTGATTAGACGTTATGCACAAGACTGAGCACTACCAAGCTCAGTTTTTCACCTACACATTTGATGCTGTTCCGCAGTGTTACACAAAGCAGATGGTCCCTCAAATTTTCTCATTCTTTGCCATTTAACTAGATATTCAGTTTCCAATTTAATTGAGACGTCCAAGCAGCCGGAAAGCTCGAGTAGCGGCGTCATTGTTTTTCTCCTGCGGCCGCAGTGGGACCACTGCGTAAACGGCAGTGTGCTCAAGCGTTCACGAAGACAAAGAAGCAGACGATGTCAAAGCAGACGATAAAGCTATTCTAAAACGATAAGACAACTGGAACTGTTTTTCTGCGCTTGCTGACAAACTAAGGAATCACAAACAACACAATCTTACAAGGTACAGACATGCGGGAGAATCCAAGCTAAAACTGGGGCGTTCCAAGCGATAATCTACGATGTACGCACACCGCTACGTAGCCGGAAAGCCGGAAAGGGATGACTACAAGTAGCATGGCGGCGGAACCACTTCCGGAATGTGCACGCCTGCGCAGTTCACTTGGTGAGATCGGTCTGTTCCCATTTAAAACAAAAGAGCAGAGCTAAGGTGATGCTTTAAAAAGGCTCTGGGGCAGATCCGTTTGTGTTGCTCCCTTCTTGTTGACAGTTGCGGGTTTTCGATGACGACAACACTTTGACTCTGTCATTGACTGCGCAGACTCACTTGATTTGCCGAGTGCCAGCGTACCGGAACCTCGAGGTGGCGCACATGGTGCTGGTGCATCTGGTGGTGACCAGCGGGGGTAGGGCGAGCGAGCCCCACCCTTTCACTTACGTGCCGCTCTCAGGTAGGCCTCGGCCCCACGGCCGCGCCCCGCCTGGGGGATCCCCTCAAATCCCGTCGCCCTCTGCGGCACCTTCTCATCCGGTGGCTCGGTGCCGTTTCTCTCTGCATAGGCCAGGCGCCACGAGCGGAGCAGGGAAGACTAGTAGGGAATTCAGTGGGGGGGGGGGGGGGGCAAGGGAACAGTAGGAGATAGACCGTGGGGAGTTGAGCTTATCTGGAGCGGGGAGGGCCTGTATCGGAGGCAATGCTCTTTGTTTTTTTTTAGCTATAACTTCACCCTCCGGGGACGTTGCTCGCTCAAGTTGGTCACACTGCATGATGTCAGATGATATCATGGTTACGTGCCACTCTAATATTTCTGTTAACTTTAGCAGGGACAGGCCTCCATGAAATTCTTCTAGAAAGTGACGCTCGTTAGAAAAGCAATCAAATGCTATTGCAGCTTCATTGCATTTGATGGAAAGTCTAAGCCAGGCAATCTTTTTATTCCTACACATTGGAGCTTCATTTTCTGTAATATTCGTAGTCTGCCGAGTATTTTTTTTTTTTTTGCTTTCTTTGGGCATGGGGCTGGAGGGTGTGGAAATCTGGAGGGTAAAACAGGCGGGATATAGAGCTTATTGCTTGGGGTGGTAGTAAATCGGCAACTAGTGAAAATGTGACTGTATCTGATGGTAAAAAGGGGGGACAGGCTATTGAGAGATAAAAATTGGGAGCTGCTCCCAGAAAACAAAAGCTGCTACTGAACTGCTGCGATTCTACTGTTATTTTCTTCCCTGTACAGTGACACTTATTGCCCTGTTACACCAAATTTGTTTAATTACTAAGTTGTGTCTTTTTACTGGAAATTTCGCATGACGTTTGATAGCTAGAAACAACTTTAAAATTTAAAACTAAAATTATTTCACTTCCTGATTCAGGTTAAGCTGCATTTGCTGCGTACATGGGGTATATTTTAAAATCTAGTTTCTAGAATACTTTCTCACTGTCACACAATTAACCTTAATAACGTTCTGAAAAGAGTCTACTGCTTAAAAATAAAATGAGAGCTCGGGCAGGCAGAGCTTTTCAATGCCAGTGCTCATTTAGAGATGAGACATGCCGTTTTGCTTACCAGCAGCATGCAAAGCTGCTAACCAGAGAGGTTTATGTGCCAAAGCTAGCGGAGTGTCACGTGCATTTCACGTTAATGGCTCCCTCGTAACGATTGGGCTTTTTCTTGCCTAAAGCACACCCCTCAAACTGTTTACTCCCCCCGCACGTGTCTGCTCCACTAGCTTTCTCTCGTGTGTTTTGTAGCATATTGAAGGCTGACCCTATTGCAGACAGTTGCAGTGCGGGCAAGGGAGAAGCAGTACGTCTTCCTGCTGCTCTCTCAAGCCTCGAGCATACCGAGCCAATTTTTTTTTCCTTCCGTTTGTCGTTTTCGGAGTGTGCAAGGGTGTGCCTGCCTCTAGAAGAGTGAAAGAGTGTGAGACGTATACAAGGAGGACTCTCGCGCACTTCTCTGCTGCCAGCCTGGGGCATTTCTTTCCCTTCCTTTCCTGCGTACTTTCTCGTCCTCTCCGTTTCTCCTTCCTTGCAGCTTTGTGTGGGTGCGACTGAGTGCGTGACAGAGCGCATGCACGGGCCCTGTCTTCAAACGAGGAAACGGTGTGGTCAGTCCGGGAGGGTCTTGTCGGTGGGGCACCAAGTTCACTAGAAGGGGTTCTTGTTGAGGCACCTCTGCTGCTGCCACTTGGAAAAGGGAACATGTCTGGACAATGTTGTTTCAGTTTCCTGGTTTGAAACAAGCTCCTGGTTCGAATGTCGTTTGGTCCCCGCTTCGAAAATGGTACCAGTTAATTGGGCATCTGGTGTGCACTTGAGTGTTTCATGCATTGTATTTTTAGGGTGTACACATAAAAATCTGGGAGCAACGGATGCATTACTTTTTGGGACTGGCAGTAGCATCGCAAAGTTTGTGCGACATGGCAAGGGACTCTTCATTCCACTTCTGTCTTGGGCGTACTAAAAGGACCAATGCCCCTCAGTTCAACGGTTGGATGCTTGAATTATCCCATACCAAGTAGAGGAGCCCGAATATCAGATTTTTTGCTGCGAATTGAATAAGAATATTTTCTAATGAAAATATTTTACATTTACTCTGAATTGACCATGGATATGGAAACAAATCACGGCTGGAAATCTTTTCCAAAAGGCATACTAAGACAAACAGTTTTATTACATGCTAAACACTTTCACATATTTGTATTAAAAAAAAGAAGGTGCTTGTAAGTTTTTTTTTGTTTTTGTTTTTCCGGCACTGTTTTTTGAAATGGGGGGTTGAACTATGATTATAACTAAATACGGCTGACAAATGGTAGTGGTTAGAATTTCTGAGAGCATCGAGACAACCGAGATACTGACATATCGGCTGTTTCTCCTAGCACGCTTATGCTAAGCAGTGAAGCTTGGCGCAAGAAATCGGAGAATTCTCGAGACATTATTCACAATTTTCAAATATTTGAAAAACTCAAATAATTTGAAGAGTAAAAGTGTGCTGTGAATCAAAAAGAATTATGAAACACTGTTCCCAAATTTTTTTCACTTTAGGCTATTTGCACACCTCTAATAGGAAGTTAAGGAGCATTGTTTGATCCGATTGATGGAAAATCACAAATGAATTCATGATTTTATGGTAGGTTGAAAAGTATGTAGTAAGTTATACGTGTTGGATTGCACTGAGATAGTGAACAGACAAATGAAAAGGCATTGACTGGAAAAGGGTGGCCAGGCATGAAGGCTGGATGCTCTATGCCATCGTGGTATTGGGTATTGACACATTGACAGGGTGGGGTAGAACACAAGGTTCGTCCTTTATCTCGGTTTCCTCGAATCTTCACAGGGGGGGGGGGGGGGGGGGGGTAGTCATGTTGAATTATCTGAGTAGAACCAATTCTTGGCATATTTTATTATAGAAACAAAAATGGCATCAAATTTGTCACAAATTGTCACATTATGCCCATTTTAGGTTTGAATAGACATTCCAATTTTTGAAAAGCAATTTTAATCTTATGTCTTACAAATCGAGGGTTTTGTAGGCTTCCCATGGGAAAGTGTGAAAAAATAGCCACTGCCCATTAGAGCAAGTAATAAAAATTTGAGTGTTCGCCATTACTTTTTTTTCTTCTAAATACTGCATTGGAGGCAAATGGATGTGTATGTCCTTAAAGGTACTCCGCATGAGACGTGGCACACGTTTATTAATGTGACCATTTCCAAAGTATGTGCAAATGTGGTGTGAATGTGTGCGAGTGTGTGTGCGTGTGTGTGTGTGTCCGGCTTTATTGCCTGGTCAAATTCAACCATACCGTTCGAGCAGACGCCACAAACATGCATCGTCTTCACTGACTACAAGTCGAAGATAAGTGCTACGTCTCTCCGGGTGACCTCACAGAACGAGAGGGCAGGTAGCACGCGCCATGTTTTCAGCGGGAAAAGGGAGAAAGGCCCCGATTGGCCAGAGAGGTCGTCAGTGAATCCTCGGTGCTTTGGACCAAACAGGGAGGTGAGGAAAACGGAGAAAGCGTCCGCTGCTTCGCTTCCCGACGTTGACAATAGGCCGTGTTTTCAAACTCTGCGGCGTTTTCGGTCAACTTCTGGAGTCGAGTGAAAACGGTGCAGTTGGGTGCCTACTCACGCGGGTTTTTATTTATTTTCCCCCCGCGCATTCGAGGGTTTCTTTTATATATATATTTTTTTCACACTTCTTTTTTTTTTCTTTTTACCTGTTTGTTGTCAGCCTTCAGTATGCTCCCCCACCCCCCTGTGTTGAAAATTTTGTGTCTGAATGTGCTTAAAAAAAAGAAAAAAGAAAAAAAAGAGTGCCTCTAAACCAGTTGTGTTCCTCTTCCTTTTGAGACTGACGGCGGTGCCATGCGAGAGCAAACTGTGTGTTGTTCCTCCCCGTTTCTCAGACTGCAGGTTAAAGGGATGAACACCCTCCCGGGGGTTTTCGGTGGGTTGTGCAAAGGGGGTGGTCGCTCACACCAACCCCCTGCCCCGGCGGCCTCCTCCTCCTCCTACTCTCTCTGCCGCAGACGGAGGTTTTTCTCGACACTTTTTACATCCCCATTAAGCGCATTCATGTGTGTCTTTCCACCAAGTGGGCACTGGGAGGATAGCAACCGGCTCATTGCGCTTTCCATTGCCACTGGTCTGATCTAGTCGCTTTAGTGCTGCAAGCACGCCGGTGGGACTATGAGGACTAGCGTTTGTCGAACAGGGCTTCCCATGCACCAAAGCGAGATCTTGTTCTGCACGTTAAGGTTAGGGAACGCATGTCAGCTCCATATCTGTGTATACACTGCATTTGTTTTTCAATGCAATCATTTCACGGAGCCGAGGCTATGCACGTTGGAGCTAATTTGCTTGGCAGGTCTGATGTAGGAGGAAAACGAATTCTGCAGCCGGACCTGTAGTGGTACCAACTTTCTGGCGAGTGAAAACAGCCTACATAGAAGATTATGTAACTTCATATTACTACGGAGGCTGATTTAGGCCCCCTGAGCCCTTTGACGGTCGAGTTTTAGTGGAATGCACTATTTGGATTACATTTTATTTCGTGCCTAAAATGACCATTCACATGCAGTTCTTACCTTCATTCATCGACCAGCATCTTGTTCCCATGCCTAGTGCTTCTATGTGCGACTAAACAGCTAGCTCTGTGCTTGAGGAAATCAAACCTGCCGTTGCGCAGAAGCGTGAAGGCAAAGCATGCATATTTCTTAGTGTGATAGTCCGACACGTGAATTTTAACTTATAATATTCGCAGTGGTACGAATAAAAATGAGGTGTGTGCGTGGTGCTCCAAAAGTACTTTTTGCTGCTCTATGATGGACTTTTGACTGCTACATAAGGTGCTACAAAATGACTTGGGCCAATCGCATCACTGGATTTCTAACTGGTAGCGTTTTACAGAACTATTTGGTCGGTTGATGTGCTCTCATCCTCTAAATTTAGTTACGAAAAGCATTGGAAGTCTGAATCGGAACAGTAAGTGCTCCTACCACCAGAGCAGTTGGTATGCGAAGTGAGCATCACATGTGCACAGCATCTAATTTGAAAACTATAAATAGCCCTGCAATACGAAACAATGTGCGACTATAACATTTATAGTTTGCCAAAGACATCATAAATAGCAATGTCTGCCACAGTGTGCGCATTTTCATATTCAGGCGGGCACTTTAAATGTGTAATCCCCGCCGCATATGTACGGCGACGACCGTCAAAGGGTTAAAGAAAAGTGCAATCTCAAAGCACCTGCTGAAGATCTGTAAGTTGCAGTGTTTGACAGAGCAGCAACAGGTCACGACAGTTTTGAATGATGTTTGAGCAAATCATTATCGTAATTGTGTAAGAAAAAAAGAAAATTTACTTGGTCAGCCATGCTTGCACTTTACTCCACCCCATTAATTGGCGGGGGGCCATCTGGAGCAACAGCTGGTTGTTTATGGATCAAGGTTTGAAGGAAATGCAGGTGACGACACACCGTATTATCTTAGTCTTGTTGAAAAGGTGCGTCGGTATCATGAAACTGGGTTGCACATTTAAGCCAGTGCATTATGTGAACCGGGCTTTCTACTCCGAGTGTGGGTTTGACACCTGCAGGTAACGTTAGGGCCAACCAGTTTATAAGCATTCATCCAGGACAACTTTTTTTTTTTGTCATTTATTTTGCCATTATGCCCATGCTAAATATACGAAAATATCATTTAAAATATCATTTTTTCATTCCGGAATGCTCGTGTCTGTCCTCTTTGGTTGCTGCATTGCAGCAGTTTACATTTAATTTTTCTTTTGGCAAGTGCCGTCGCGGAGGAAGATTTTTTCCAGAACATTCCTGGGTGTTTTCTACTGATGCCGGTCTGTACTTTGTTTCTTTGTTTGGTTGTGCAAAGGCGGTCGCCACACGCCTCTGGTGAGTACAGCTTCTTGCGGTTGGGGGGTCTGCCTTTTGTATGTTTATTGCATACACAGGGTGTCTTCACTATGTTGCACTCAAAATTTTAGCTCTCAGTTTCTTCAGAACTTTGCGATAAGGTCAGGTCAGCACCATGTTTCTTTTCATTCAGGGAGTGCAGATGTAACCTGTACTTCGTGTTCGAGCATTCTTGGTTGAGTGCTTGTATAGGAGCTGGGTTAAGCTGAGTAAGGAGGGCTTTAACTTTGTGAAATTTGTAAGCTAAATTGCAGTTGATTTGAACGTTCTTACACTTGTCTTAGGCACTGTGGGTGGTGCATTCCTTCTCTAAAATGTTTTGTGCACCTAACACACCATTGTACAATTATTACGGTCCATACTTCCTCATCCTTGGAGATGAAAATGGCTGAAACACTGAGAATGTAAATCTCCTGTAGTCCCACCCATGTGCTGCAGCTTTCATTTTTAGGTGATTGCAGTGTCAGTGCATTGTCTGGGACACAAGTGCAAAATTAATTATTTTTCAGAAATAGTGCATATTTTTTTAATATGCCAGTTACTAACTCATTTACTCATAATTGGCACATGGCTAATTAGCAGAGGCTTCAAGAACAGCCTTCTGGTGCACATATTGAGACCCTGTGACTCATCATCTTTGTTGTTCTCCAACAGGGCATTCCCACTAATGTATCTTGTCATGTTTCAAGCAGCTGTTGTAGTAGGCATGTTTGTGCAAACAAGACAGAGTGAATTCTCATAACTACAGTAGGACCAGTCAACCGGGTTGCAGCACCGTCTATCTATGCGAGTAAAGACGGCAGGCTGGTTTGTTACGAGATTGAACTGCCATGTAGTTTCGCTGTCTGCATGGTGTGGGCCTGAATTAATTTGGTGGGAGCCCTAGGGCCTAGGGAATGAACTGGCAGATCTTGCGAGTTTAGTAGTGCTACTGTTCCATTTGTCTTCTCTCTTCTTAACCAATCTAGAGAGATGTAAAGGCTGGTCGCGTAACTAGCTAGCTCTAAACTACAGGTGCGAAAGTTTTGCAAGAACTCGTTGCAAGTTTACTGACTATCGTATTTGAACAAGTTTGCTGCAGTGGTTT